CCCCAACCCCAACTACCCCTCTCACACACCTCTCTCTCTCGAGAAAAAAAAACCCCTCTCGACAATCTTCCGTCTCCCACGCCCCCATCCACACCGCTTCCGACATCGAGCTCGGCCTCCAAACCTACAACCGCATTGCTCCCCCTATCACGTATCAGCACCGCCACCGCCACCAACGCCAACGCCAACGCCAAGGGTCAGAGAAAGGCCCCGAGGTGGGTGGCGTATGTGGCAGCGTCGGTTTTTATGGGGGGGGGGGGGGTCGTTGTGGGATCGGTCGTTCGGTTGGTTTATTATATGACCAAGCACCGCGATGTGAGGAGTTGGACTTGGGGGAGATGATATTGGTACACTATCATTCGAGATATCACTATGCATATATATAGAGAGAGAGTTTGATGTGGGATATGCTTTCGTCGGTCGCCACCATGTCTAAACGCTCGACGCTCGTAATCAGAAGAACGAAGATGCGGCACGTTGCTATTCCCAACTCCCGTCGAAAAAAAAAAAAAAACATCTGGTCGAGTATGGGTGGAAAAGTGGCTTACGGGATCCTCATTCTGCGACCTCCATCGAATTATAGAGTGACGCCTGACCAGACAGCAAATGATTCCATTTCCGCCCATCTCGCCGCCGAAAAAAAAACGAGCGATATGAAAATGTCAAGCCTCTTTCCGCACTTGTTCCGGGCTCTTTCCATCAGTACGTATAACACCAGAGATGCATTCACATCACATCTCCATCTACTCTCCCATCTTCCAAACATACAGAAACCAAAAAGAAACCACCAAAAACGATGTCTGCTCGTCGCGCCGCCACCCCCGCTCCCATGCCTCTTCCCCTTCCCACCCCACCCGTGGATGCCGCTGTCAAAGATCCCGAGCAAGATCTCGTCCCCTCTCTTCACCAGAGCCCGCCTATCCAAGACTCGGACATCGTGAGTACTAGTTCTCCCTCTACACAGATCATCACGCTGACAAAAGAGTATAGACCGATGTCCTCGGCAGGCCGATCCGACGAGAGTCTTTGAATGCGTGCGCTGATCGCATGATTATGGGCGGGGAGCAAGAGTCCGAGAGGGTCAAGCCTGGCTTTGTGTGTCTACCCGACTCTCAGTAAGACAGAAGCTGACGCTAGTAGACCATCATGAGCATTCCTACCGTATCTGAGCCCTCCGCCGTCAAACTCGCCTCCACCCGTCCCGCACCCGCCTTCTTTCCCACCCCCGCCGCTCCCACCTCCGACAGCTCCATACTCTCTTCCCTCTCCTCTGCCACTACCGAAACCACCCTCGCCTCTACCGCAACTGCATACGACGTCGACCCCAAGAGGTCTCCCCTCGAAGTCTTCACCAACGCGCAGTTCCACAGCTCGGCGGATATCGAGCTCGGCGTACAGCATTACAACAAGGTGGCGCCTTCTGGTATCAAGGAGAAGCGGGAGAACTGTATGAAGGCGCCTCGATGGATCGCGTATGCTGCGGCGTCACTGTTCTTGGTGGCTATCATTGGGGGATGTACTTATGCGCTGGTCCACCACGTCAAGAGCAGGAAGTGAAGAGACATATTCTAGACGATTTTGTGGACATTATACCTATACGTGGATGGTATTAGTCATGAACACTATGATTCATTTCTCTATGCACTCGTCACATCCACTCGGGGCTGACTTTGGGGCAAGTTGATAGAGCGCACCACCCGAAATCCGGGAACCAAAGGATCTGCTCGTGCCTTACGGTGCCTGAGTAAGGCGCTAAACTGGGAGCGAGCAGCATTTTATCAGAGATGGCAGCAGAGGGTCGCCCCCTTCTGCTGTACGTACTCTCCCTCTCACGTTATCTTCTTTCCAGCAATCCTTCTCAACAGTAACACTACTGGGGGGTGAGAGGGGGTACTGCACAAATAAAGTTATTCTTGAACAAGACGCGTAGGTCAAAGCCCGACGCGCCTGAGTGAACATTAGCGATCCAGGGGTAAAGAGGCTTTTTCCAAGGTTATTGCCAGTCCGAAAGACGTTGTTCTGCGGAAAAGACGGTGGTACTCCGGGGTCTTGTACAATGGAGGTTCCCAATAAACGCAAGACTGCTCGGTCAGGTAAACCTCCGACCCGACCCTGCCCCTGGGATTCATGACCCGCTCATTGACCAGGTTTGACATTGTCCTGTGAAAGGGGCAGGTGATGCGAAGGCCTATATAGAGGCCGGGCTAGACGTCGGCTCTGGTCCGTCGTTCCAATCGTTCTTCATCCACGCTTGACGCTTCTCCGGACCTCAATCACCGCCTGTATCTCTATCATCCCAACCTTCTCCCCCCTCCCTTTCACTATGAACCCCCACGCGCACGGCGAGTCCGAGCTCCTCCCAAGTCCCACCAGCCCCACATACACCAACGTCTCCACCACCTCAGCGTTCGCATCCATCACAGGCCTCGTCCCTTCCTCCGCTGGCGAGATCCCGGATAATAGGCGATGGTGGATGAAACAGCCTGCGAAGCCGGGGAAGAACGCGAGTAGTCTTTCATCCTTTGCGTCCAGATAGAACTGACCGTGCGACTAGTCTACCGAGTCTACTTTTCAATCTCAACTACCACCTTCCCAAACACGTACCGCCCCCTCCCAAGTACCCCCAGAACCAGCCTCCCCCGCGCCTTCCTCCTCCTCCTCCTCCTCCTCTTCTTCCTCGGCAGATTCCACCACCCCCTTCGAAGCCGACTTCGAAAAGACCGCCGGTCTCCCCCCTTCCTCCACCCCTTTCCAAGCCGTCCAAACCGTCCAGCCCGACAGAAAGGAGAAGAAGAGATTCTCATTCTCTCTGCGGCGCAAAAAGGGTGTCAAAGATATCCTCCCCGCCCGACTGTATAAAGACAGACACGATTCGGTCTCCATGATCCACATCACCGCTTTTGGTACGGCTTTTGTCGTAGCTGGTTTACTTGGGGGGTTGTTTTATTGGATGGCGAATAAGGATAATAATGAGAATGTACAATAGGCGGCTGGCTATGGCTCTGGGGTTTCGTAGGTTGCTCGTTGAACGTGAACGTCGCTTTCGGTTGTAGTATAGTTTGACGACACGGTGTTTAGTATAGTGTACTTGTACGAATGGCTCAGCATCGATTATCATATGCTCGATGCATCCTATAGTACTCGGACTGCTCTCCCAATCCATGTAGTACATCGACAATACTATAGTCTCAGCCATCTTCACCTCGCCTCCTACTACCGACTACTCTGCTGTCCCCCCTCTTCATCACATCCAAGCACCAAAGACCAAACCACGCCCCCCCCCCCCTCCCTCTCTATCCAAATCACAAATCACAAATCACAAGTCTCAACCAGATCTCAAAACCCTGCTACGCGCGGCCTGCGCCCGCCAAGCTCAGGCTCAGGCTGTGCTGCCCGGGTCAAAAGACCCGCGAGGCAACCGAACAAGCAAAGGGATGCGATTCGCGAATGCGAAGAGAGATACGTAGGAACAAAAAGAGATATACAGGCACGCACCAAAATGAAAAAGAAAAAAAAAAAAAGTCTAAAGTGGGGCATGTTTCGTATATATATAAGGGTATAACCTCAATCAACCTTATCAGCAACCCCTGCGGGCCCTCTGCCCCCTTGCCGTCTTTTCGGCTCGAACGGCTGGCAGCCGCAGCAGCTGTGCCGACGTACGACGTAGATACATGATCATGTGACAGATTACGAATCAGGGGAGAAACAAATAGAAACTCTTTAGGAGTTTTGAGACATGGAAAACGACGGGGGCCGGGTGACAAGTACAAACCCCGTCAGCCGTCAGACTGGTTGTTCACAAAGATGAAATAGAAGACAAGCAAAGCTGCCAATGATGTATATGCATTTGAGGGTCTTGCAGCCCATTTCTTCTTTGTATGTTTCGAATGTCAGTTTTGCTGTATAATACAAGCGCCATATGGACATGTCACTTCTCCTCTCCCCCTCCTCTTTCCCCCAAACCCAAACTTCCCGGAACCTATCTCCCATCTCCCAAGTAACCAATCCCTCCAAATCCTTCCTCTCTGAGTCTCTACAACGCCTTCTCAACCTCCTCCCTCCTCCCCTCCACCAACCCCCTCAAAGTCTTCAACCCCTTCAACACCCCCTCATCAGGCCCTTCCCCCTCCGCAAGCCAGGTATGCGCAAAATCAATCATCTTGACCGTCAACGGCGGGCACTTTCTCGCCCTTCTCTCGTCTTCTCGTACACCGTCCAGGTCGAGGTCTTCCTCGACTGACTCGTCGTCCTCCTCTTCTTCAGAGAAAGACGCCGAGCAAGACGAGCCGTCGTCGGAGAATGCAGAACGCCGGCTCATGGGGTCCATCTCCCCCTCCCCCTCCCCCTCCCCAGAAGCCGCCCTCAAAGCCCTGACAGCCCTCCTCTCCTCCGCCCTATCCAACGCCGCCTCCAACCGTGCCCCATCGGCTTCATACACGATCAACACCGAGCTCCCTACGAAACGCATTTCGAGCCCCCCGAGCACTTGGGCGAGGCGGTCGAGCTCGGCGAGAAGGAGGGTGAGGATGCGGAACAGCAGTCTCGGGGGGATGGCGTGGGAGGCGTAGGATGGTGGGGATGGGGTAGAGGAGGGGGGCTTGGCGGTCACTGGGGTAGGGGGTAGGTCGGCGGTTTGGGTGGAAGAAGTAGAGGGCTCGGGGGGGAGTAAGTGGGCGGCGGCTTCGGAAGAAGAGGTAGCTTCGCCGGCGCTCGTGCTCGTTGCCGTCGGGGGCGGGGAAGGAGGTATGGCGAGGGAAGGGATCTCGTCGCTAGGTAGAGGGAAGAACCGGACCATACCCTCAGGAAGCTGGGAGGCGGTGATAGTCTTGCCGAACGATTTGGGGGTGGAGATGTATGATCCCGTTGGGGCGTGCCATGTCTATTCCTTCATCAGCTTGTGCTTCTACAGCAGGATGAGGGGGGTTCACCTGACAGCCAGTGAGACGGAGGCCAGTTTCGTGTGTCGTAGTCTCGTGCGCTTGTTTGTCCATACGCTTGCGTTTCTCGTCATTGGCGTCTGGGCCAAAGAGGACGGTGCCGAGTTTGGCGTCCATAATATTTGGGCGGGTGTATGCATATGACAGGTTCTCCAGCACCACGCTCTACTTCCATCAGCTTCCATTTTGACATGATCTGGGAAAGACCTACCTCGGGAACATCATCCTTGACGCTCGTATCCACGTCCCCGGAAGGCTGCAGCTGCCCTTCCAACCTCAACGTCCCATAGCTCTGCGGCACAAACCCTTTGAGGGCGTAGATAGGGTCTTCCCGGCCGGCAGCAGTGAGCATCTGGTAGAATGCGATTTCCCGCGGCAAGGCGGGCTGTGACCAGGTCAGCTCGGAGGACACGAGGCTCGGCGGGGGGGACGGACCTTGATGACGAGGCTCCCGGAGGCGTCTGACATGACGCCGTCGTGGCCTGCGACCTGGTTGGCGAGGGGGGCGGAGGAGGAGATGGCGAGGTCCGGGGGCGGCATGCTGGGTGGGTGGAGGGGAAGAAGAGATGGGATTAGGAATCGGAGAGATCTGATTAGCGGGACCAGATGGGATTACAAGTCGGATTAGTATACTCACCGCCTGAGCTGTCCCGTGCCAAGCCAAACAGTCGTCCTTTCAGATCCACTAGTACTGTACGAGTACAGCTTCCACCTTTTGCATTCTCTTCTGCCCTGCATACTGCCACGCTCCCACCTCTACACTGGGGCACATCTCATCAACATCAGCCATCCCGTCCGACGTCATGCCCAAGCTCTTTCCCAAGACAGACTCTCGTGCGACAACAACCCCCACCCGCCGCAAACGTCTCTTTCTCAGCTATGCCCCAGATTGGGCACTCACCATCCTCTTATGGGTACATCTTCTTCTCCCCTCCTCCCAATCTCAGATGATGAACGCGTAACAGGGCCTTTTCTACCTCCTCGACAAGATCGACGGATACAGACGTCTTTTCGATGTGACAGACACTTCCCTAGCGCATCCTTATGCAGACCCGGAGAGAGTACCCGTATGGCTTGTGGGCGTGCTTTGTGGGGGTGTACCTGCTATTTTAATCATCCTTGTCGCGTCAGTGTTTGGTTCCATTCGCGGGTCTCGCGTGAGAGAGAGGGGTTTTGGCTTACTGGGAGCATAGTGCGTTTGAGAGGAGGTCGTTCTGGGATGGGCATAATGGGATACTGGGCCTGATACTCGGCTTGGGTCTGACGGTGACCTTTACAAACATCCTCAAAGTGCGTCCCTCCTCTTCCGTGGCCTCTTGTCCAGTACCAACTCCCGGCCGCTCGTACGTAGATCACAGCAGGCCGTCCCCGCCCCGACCTTTTCGCCCGATGCATCCTCCCCCCTACCCTCACTTCCAACCCCACCCACTCCCTCACCTCTTGGACCGCCTGCACCACGACCGATAAGGACCGGCTGCAAGAAGGGTTCAGGAGTTTTCCGAGTGGGCATAGTAGTTTTGCGTGGTGTGGGATGTGGTATTTGATCTTGTATCTTGCTGCTAGTGGGTCCCTCTTCTTCTTCTTCTTCTTCTCCTTCTCTTTCTCTCCTTCATCTTCCTTTCTTCTCATTCTTCTTTCTTCAAGACTGACGGTATGAAAAGAAATGTGCATAAACAACCGCCAAGGCTTCACCTACAAATCCTGGCTTCTCCTCGCCCCCCTCTCCTGCGCCTCCCTCATCACCGTCTCCCGCACCATGGACTATCGCCACCACCCCACCGACGTCATTGCCGGCTCCTTGATCGGGGTTGCGGGCGGGTGGTATAGTTATCGGCAGTATTATCCTGTGAGCGTTCTTTTTTTCTTGTTCTTCTGCTCTTCGAGGACTGGGGAGGGGAGAGGTGGGGAAAGAGGGGGGGGGGGGGGGGGGGGGGGAAAAGGGAACAAAGGCTGATGGGAATAACTGTAATAGTCGTTATCGCATCCTCAGGCATACAAACCACACTCTCCCCGAATTCCGCGAGACGAACCCTCCCCCTCCCCCTCCCTACCCCTCCACCACCCCCACCCCCACCCTTCCTCCCCTTCCTCCCGTCCAGGTCCAGGAAGAGACAGCCAAGAAGTCATGCTCAAACCCCTGCCTCCCCAGCATCTCAACGGGAACGGGAACGGGAACGGGAACGGGAACGGGAACGGACAAGACTCTTCATTCGTATTCGGGGGCCAGCCTGGGTTTGGGGCGCCGTACCAAGTGTCAGGGGGAGGGTCAGGGTCAGGGGGAGGGGAAGGGGGGCATCATCAGTCGAGTATGGGTACGGAGATGACTAGTTCCAGCGGGGGTATCAGCCAGGAGCAGGGGCAGGAGCAGGGGCAGCAGGTGGTGAGGGAGGCGGATCTGGGGGCGCGGGGGGAGATGGATCTGGTTGGGAGGTACAAGTAGATTGCTCAGCATGTCCGTCTTGCCGAGTTGTATAAAGAATGAAAGAAGACATGTATCATATAACCTACCGCAGCTTTTCGCAACCTCCTTCGTTTTCGAAAACCCAAGTGTGATTTCAAAGAAAACCTCTTCCCTCTACAAGACTGAATACAATGTGATTATCACTGTACGAGTACTCTATAGTATTCTTGAAATGCAGGTTTGTCAATACAAGAAATACCGAATGAGGCTGACGCGAGGCCGCGGGGTAGATGCCCCACTTTAGAGTACTGCACTGGATTTGTTGAGGCAATCTTTCATGGAGAATTGTGTACACCATACGCCTAGTACGACTCTTGTTTTGGCTTGTCTACTCTCGTCAGCAGTACCGCTGGATCCCACATCTCCATTTCCATAAAAACGCCGCCATATTCTCCTCTTCTACCTCGCTCTAGTCTTGACATACACATACTTGTACACCCGTAGTAGGAGCCTGGATCCTGTTGGTTTTACTTTACGACTACTAGCCTCAAGTCTCATTTATCCTGACATTTGTCTCCCCGTATATCACGTGGACGAATAGGTGATCAACTTCTAACTACAGTATAGACGCCCGAAAGCACCGTGTCTCATGTAAGTTTGTTTGGAGTACCCGTTAAGCACCGTAGTGGAGAGCGCCTTGTCTGGAGTCTCTAGGAGACAGACACGGCTCCGGCAGAAGAGGGATCATACAGCAACAGACAGCATCGGTCTGGCGGCTGATCCCGCTGATACGATGTGGAGGCGATGATGAACGTAAACAACAATATATAAAGCTGATACTTGCTCAAAAGCATCTCTACAAACAACCCACTTTTCTGCAATGCTTCTCCTTACCGCCCTTCTCCCCTGTCTCCTCCTCGCCTCTGCCCACCCCCATCACACCCGCTCGCACGCCCCCCGCTCAGCCCACGGTGAAGTATCCGCCCACCCCAGCATCGACCTCACCCTCCTGCCCACTCGTCAGTTCTCAGAGTGTCTCGAAGACCGGCAAGAATGGCTCCACGAGCAGACCGACACGCTCTTGCACAAGTATGCGGCGCTCATCGACGATAGCTGGAAGAAGAATACGAGCTTGGTGAAGAAGGATGTTGGAGTCGCACAGTACGTTGTTTACTTGCTCTCTGGAGAACTGTTCTGACATCGTCACAGGCTCACGGACGTCAACTACGACGCCTCCTACCTCGGCACAGTCCACATCGGTACCCCTCCTCAAGAGCTTCTTCTCGTGCTGGACACTGGCTCTGCCGACCTGTACGTCGACTTTCCACACCGCCAAGAACTTTGGTGCTAACAAACTCGTAGATGGGCTGCCGGCACCGACTGCGCCAACTGTGGAGATGGGGAGCGATTCAACCCTTCAGCATCTTCGACCTATCAGGCCAGCAGCGGTACCTTCTCCATCACCTACGGCTCTGGTAGCGCGTCGGGTGATCTTGGCACCGATGTCGTTGAGCTCGCCAACTTTACTGTCCCCAACACCACTCTCGGTACGTCTCCTCTCTCACATACATGCGGGAGCTGTACTGACTATACTCGTACTATAGCCGTGGTTGACCAAGCGAGCAGCGGTCTCATCAGCGCCCCTCTTTCCGGAATCATGGGTCTCGCCTTCTCCCGATTGTCCAACGCCAGAGCTACCCCCTGGTGGGAGACGCTCGTCAATGCTGGTCGGTGGGATTCTCCCGAGTTTGGTGTCTACTTGGCGAGGTATAGAAATGACCCTAGTGCTTCAACGGTCGAGGGAGATGGCGGTGCTATCACTTTTGGGTGAGTCGTTTGGTATCAATGTGGCGAAGGGCGAGGCTGATGGTATCTCAAGCGGTATCGACACGACAAAGTTTGCCGGCGAGCTCAACTACGTCCCCATCAACGACTCTGCTCGCGACTACTGGCGTATCCCACTTGAAGGTTTGACCATCAACAACCACACCGTCAACATCGCCACTTCCTCTTCCTCCTCTACCCTTCCCGCCTGGCTCCAGCCCCTCAACCCTTTCCTCCCTCAGAGCTCGACAAGCAACCGACCGCAAGCCGGTATCGACACTGGTACAACTCTCATCGGCGCGCCTCCCTCGACCGTGCAAGCCATCTACGCGCAGATCCCCGGGTCGTCTCCTCTTCCGCCTTGGATCATCGATGGTCAGGGACTCTGGCAATACCCTTGCAGTCAGAATGTATCGGCACTCTTCCAGTTTGGCGGACAGCAATACTCGATGAGCAACACGGATATGAACTTGGGGCCATTCACGTCGGACAGCAGCATGTGCACCGGGGCGTTCTTTGAAATGCAAATGTGAGTACTCTTTTTCCTATCGCTTCTCGTCGGCCGGTGAGCAAAGGCTGACGGGACGTAGGTCACCAAACTCTCCCATCCAGTGGATCGTCGGAGCATCCTTCTTGAAGAATGTGTATACGTCGTTCAGGAATACGCCCACCGCCATTGGTTTTGCTCCACTCGTCCTCAATGCCGCTTCCAACAATACTATCGCATGACTCAGTGCCTCTTTCTCCCTCCGCTGTGCTCGACTCGACGTTCGATACGCAGCCTCACGTTGTTCCTTGTCTTCTTTCACGATTAGCTTACGCCTTACGACTCTTGCATTTGTTTTCATACCATGATACGTATACGATCAAGCAATCAGACATTCGTATGCATCATTGTCATTCAACATACCGTCTCTCGCGTCTTTACAGCAACTCATGACAGACAGCAGCGAGGTTGACGACAGCCGGTGGAGTGATCACAACCGGCGTAGTTCGGACAATAAGCTAGACAAACTCAAGGGCGAGCCAGTACCTCACCGCAATCACTACCCTTGTTCTTTCCAGACATGACAGTCAGTAGGGAACGCTGCAGATAACATATCGCCCTATTCTGCTGCTACAATGTTCGGGCAAGTGGAGGTGTATGAGTGGAATCAACAAACAAAGGTCGTCCATCAAATGCCGCAGATGACCTTCATTTTCAAAGTGACTGGAAGGGGTTAGGGGGGTGCGCGAATGTTGAGAAGGCACAGAGGGCATGCTGTTATGGATGAGTATGAGGTGAAGTTGACGATAGTGAGGCGCTGACGGTCAGGGGCGATGAGAAGCAGTGAAGAAACGGCAGCGACGAGGGCGATGGAAGGAGCCTTCATATACATCTCAGGAGTGGAGGTGGTGTAGAATAGTCTCGCAGCAGATATGAAGTGATAGAAGGCTCGGGAAGCAAGAAAGAACAGAAGCATGGGGTGCATCGGGAAGGAGCAGCGTTGAAAGTGGCGGAAGCCGCATGGACGTTGCATGAACATTGCCGTGGACCACGCCGCGTATTCCCACGCGGCGTATGCCACTTTCCCCACTTTTCCGCAGTGGGCCACCACGCTTTCCCAGTTCTCCACTTGCATCTCCATCTATCACTCTTATCACCTCGCTATGCCTCCCAGTACTGCCAACACAGACACCTCCTCCCCCAGCACCACACCCCCCCTTTTCCCCGCCGAAGTCGAACACGTCATCTACGACAACTTTCTCTCTTTCGACCCCTCTTGCACTCTCACCCGCACGCTCACCCTCGCCAAATTGTCGAAATCGCACTATGAGTTGTTCATCCCTCGCCTATACCAGCGCATCGTAGTATCAGACAAGACCATCGAGAGGGGCTTGTTCGAGGGTCTTTCTGCGCGGCCAGCTGGTGGAACAGAGGTCGTGCGAGCGGAAGGCGGGCCTCTGGGCAGCAAGCGGGACCTACTCGAGCACTGTGAATCGCTGGTCTTCGTCACCTTGGCCGCCAGAGACGCTACCGCCGAAGTCGTAGAGCTATGGAACGGCGTGATGACGGCCGAGCGCTACGAGGCAGGTGGCCTACCCGACACCCCTGGCATCTTCAACAACGTCGCGCATATAGCCTTCGAGTCCGACTGTCTGGAGCAGTACGCAATAGGCAAGCTGGATCTGCTGTTTCGTCAGCAGGCTCCTGCGATAAAACGACATCCCTGGCCTCTCAAAAAATTGTCCCATATCTGTTTTCGACTGCCTTATCCATCCCTCCCGTCCGAATACGAACAATACCTTGAGTCACTCTACCACCTTGCCTCGTACTTTGCTCCGGGGGTACATGACACGGTCGGCAATGTGACACGTTTTCAAAACCATGATATGTCTGAGGACAGCATTTCGAGCATCAACTATGTCAATTGGGGGGAGACGATGATTGTCGATATGCTGCCTCTAGAGCATTCAGAGGATAGTGGTGGTGTGGAAGGGTACGGCCGTCACGTGGAACTGATAAATACGTACTGTAAGAAATCCTTCTGGATCTGGGGGCAATTCGGAAAGAAGTGAGTTCCACCGTCAAGCCTTTTCAACAGACTTCTAACGTCGATTGCAGATGCCCCGAAGATCTCCCGAAAGCCTTGATCCTCACCAATTTCGGCACAACCGTCTCCCGTGACGGCAATTTCCACTATATCTCTTCCAACAAACAAAAGGCGATTCTTCAAAAAGCTCAAAAAGATATCAGAACACGCCTACAGTCGGTTGCCGCATCCGAAAACTTAGATACTGGAGTGGTGGATAAGATTTTCATACGAGGTCACGAGGAGTGCGAGTTCTGCGGGGACGTTTGTCCTAAGGAGTACGAATATTGGGATTGGTAGGCGTATTATTGAATCTCCAGTCTTGTTTGTGAGTGTCCATCCAGTCTCGGTCGTCCAAAGCTGATCGGATCCAGTACGATATCTCCATCGCTTTTTTCATGCTTCATCGGCCGGGCCCCTTCTGTCTATCACGTACGCCCCGCGCCCATGCCATTCCAAACCCGTTCAATACTGACTTTCCAAAGGTTGGCTTTCCAACTGTAGTCGCCCTGCTTTTTGTTTCTAGAACCATGCCAATACCCAGACATCAATGAACATCTCGTCCTGTTTTGCGGCAATTATGTTCGTGCAAGCCGAGGTGGGTGGATGTAATTAAGACACAAAGGTCGTTCATCAAATGCCGCATATGAATTTCATTTTCAAAGAGACTGGAAGATTACAGTACGCAGGAAGAGTCAATTTTGTCATCGCAACATCATTCTTGACGAATGCGTATACTTCATTCAGGCATACATACACCTGCTGCTGTCGGCTTTGCTACTCTCGTCAGCTCTCTCTCTGCCAAGCCTACCGGCGCATGATCGATACTGTTAATCTCCAGCCTCGCTTTTGTACGATAGACTTCTGATGAAAAGACTTTACGATAGTCTTTTCAACTTCACTCTTCTCTTCGGTTCCTTATAGATAACATTCGTTCTCATCCGACGTACACGGTCGATCGCTTAAAACCACACGTGCAACTCATACACGGTTCACACTGTCTTTCAGGTTCTTTGGAGATGTGACTGCACATAGATCGGGGCACCTGTCGATGCCGGAACGCATTTCCGATCTTGTAGAGTAACCTCCCGCCCTGGTTGCTGATTGTGGCTAGGCTATGTTGGTACTTGAAATGGATGTTGAGTCAAAAAACTTCTGGGACGGTCAAGAAGAAGAGTGAGTCCCTCGAATCTCTTCTCTGCAGGTCAAGGCGAGTCTGCCCTCGCCTACAGCGCACCCAGCAGGAGATTTATCTTTACCAACTATAACAATCGCAATCATGGCGATCGGTTCGACTTCATGAGCGTTTCAAGCTCCTGCATTCTTGCTGTAGATATCCATACCCATGTAAAGATGCCCTTCGGTCTTGGACACATGCCCTCAAGAGCTTTCAGCATTCAGGAAGCCCAGTGGATTCGGAGTGCCGATGTCACGGCCTGCTGGGACGCAGCAGGGGAGGGGACTGGAAAAGGTGATTTTGGAGGGGAAAAGACCTTTTCGGTATCATCGCATAGAGAAAGAGTAGAACAGTAGGATATGAATTGAGTATGTACAGAGCGCGTCCTTCAACCATCCACACAACTCAGCGCCATGCCACTTCAGGGAATATCTACGTGTGACAGCCGACCTGGGTTGAAAGAGAAGACGTTCAATGGGGGAGTGATGACGTGTTAGTCGTACTAATCGCTCAAATGCTCCCCGCTAATGAACTCCATCACAACTTTCGTGTGCCTCTGCTTTCCCATCCAGTTCCCGCCCACTTGCATCTCCATCTATCACTCTTATCACCTCGCCATGCCTTCCAAACGCCCCGCACGGCGTCGTACTGCCAATCGTACTGCTAATCGTACTGCCAACACCGACACCTCCTCCCCCAGCTCCTCGCACCCCCTTCTCCCCGCCGAAGTCCAATACCCCATCTACGACGCCTTTCTCTCCTCCGACCCCTCTCTCACTCTCGCCCGCACGCTCATCCTCGCCAAGTTGTCGAAATCCCACTACGAATCGTTCATCCCTCGCCTATACAAACGCATCGTAGTATCAGACAAGGCCATCGAGAGGGGCTTGTACGAGGGTGTGTCTGCGCGGCGGGCTGGGAAAAAGGTCGTGCGAGGGGAAGGCGGGCCTCTGGGCAGCAAGCGGGACCTGCTTGAGAACTGTGAATCGCTGGTCATCGCCACCTTGACCGCCAGAGACGCTACCGCCGAAGCCGTAGAGCTATGGAACGGCGTGATGACGGCCAAGCGCTACACGGCAGGTGGTCTACCCGACACCCCTGGCATCTTCAACAACGTCACGCATATAGCCTTCGAGGACGACTGTCTGAACCAGTACTGCCTAGACAAGCTTGGTCTGCTGTTTCGTGGGCAGGCTGCTGTGATAAATCGACATCCCTGGCCTCTCAGAAATTGGTCCCATGTCTGTTTTCGACTGCCTTATCCTTCCCTCCCGTTCGAATACGAAAACTACCTTGAGTCATTCTACGACCGTGCCTCGTATTTTGCTCCGGGGGTAAATGCCACGGTCGGCAATGTAACACGTTTCCAAAACCAAAATATGTCTGCGGACAGCATTTCGAGCATCAACTATGTCAATGGGGGGAAAACAAAGATTGTCGACATGCTGCCTCTAGAGCATCCAGAGGATATGGGTGGTGTGGAAGGGTACGGCCATCACGTGGAACTGATACACTTGTACTGCCAAAACTCCTTCTATGTCTGGGGGAAATATAGAAAGAAGTGAGTCCCACCGTCAAGCCTTTTTAACAGAATGAGGCGGGTCTAACGTTGATTGCAGATTCCCCGAAAAACTCCCAGCAGCCTTGATCTTTACCAATTTCGGCACCACCGTCTCGCGTGACGGCAATATCCACTATATCCCTCCACAAAAAAAACAGGCTATTCTTCGGAAAGCTCAAGATGATATCAGAAGGCGTCTACAGCCGGTTGCCGCATCCGAAAAGTTAGATACTGGAGTGGTGGATAAGATCTTCATACGAGGTTACGAAGAGTGCGAGTTCTGCGGCGACGTCTGTCCTAAGGAGTACCATTATTGGGATCCGGAAGAGGAGTGGGAGGAGTACTATACGAGTCAATGTGATTGGGAGGCGTAGCGAAGCTCCGTTCTTGTTTGTGAGTGTCCGGCCAGTCTTGGTCGTCCAAAGCTGATCGGATCCAGAACGATATCTCCATCATTCTATTCATATCTTCATCGGCCGGACCCCTTCTGTCTATCACGTACGCTCCGCACTCATGCCATTTCAAACCCGTTCAATACTGACTTTTCAAAGGTTGGCCTTGCGACTTTTTGATCGTCTTCTTTTCTGTTTCTAGAACCATGCCGATACCATTACTGGCGGGAAGACCGTACAGGGAATCGAGAGCGAAGGAGAAGAATAGTGTATGGGACGACAGCGGCGGGTCTTGCTGTCATGGTCATAGTAGTCATCTGTGTTTGTTTCTTCAGGTAGATTAGTTGTGTGTTTAGTGGACCGTGCTCTCCGTGTATATAGATATCAGAGTCTTCTTCCATAGTTCTTCTGTGTATGCGACAATAACGAAATGGTTTTTGCCCCTTATAACAAAACTCTCTTCAGCACGCCAAGGGCACTACCCAAGCGTGACACTTGCAGAGGTAAGGATGGATTGGATCGTAGTCGAGCTGTATGAGTCTCTGCTCAGGGCATTCTGAGTTGTAGGCTGAGTACCACATTGTCTTTATACAGGATGATGCATTCATATACAACGCATCCTTCACAGATGAATCTACTTGTCATCAGCGCCACACCACACAAGCTTGAGAAAGGACTCACCCTGCATTTTACAGCAGGTCCTTATCAATGATGAACCCTGCAAACATACAATCAGCATCCACACAAACATAGAAAAGACAGAAGACTTGCCCCTCGCAAGTTCATAAGCCACAAAAGTCGACCCCGCCGCCGGCACCGCCCTAACCAAACTCGGCCCCAATCCCCTAAACAGCCCCCCCACACCACCCTCCCTCACGATCGCCCCCAACTCTCTCATCACATACCCCCCAGACAACCAGCCCCCACGGGTAGGAGGCGAAGGCGCGAGCTGGATACGGGACTTGACAATGTCAAAGGGGTAGCAGGCGAGCCAGTAGGAGATACCGCCGATAGCGCCGGAGGTGAGGAGGGTCCAGATTGGGAGGGGTTGGGAGGGGTAGTGGGATGCGAATTGGCGTTTGGTCGTTTCGTAGCCTGTCACAGTTGATCAGTCAAAGTCGGAGCAAGGGAAAGGAAAGAAGGGAGAGGAAGACGGACCGGCATAGAATCCGGCGTAAGCGGGGATCTCTCTTACGACCGTCACCTATAGCGCCGGTGAGTATGGCCCACCAAGAGAAGGAGAGCAGGGGGACATACCCAGTATCCCCGCATAATACCATCACGCAAACCATACTGCCTCCAAGTATCCCCGACAACCTTGCCCAGGCGTTTATCGTCCGCACCGCCGTATTGTCCTTGCATCTTGATCTTGAATTGTTCGACCTATCCTCTTCGTCAGGTGACCCGTCCCGTTTTGGGGAAGCAGAGAAGGAGGAATGAATACGTACGGGAGAGGCGAGGATGGCATTGGCAGCACCAGCGAGCGCACCGGCGGTGGCCACTTGAGGGATGGAAAGGTCTGGGTATGGCGACACGAGTTTCCTAGCAGCGCCGTATGCTGTAAACAGCAGAGAGTTGACAGAGGCGATACCAATCAGTGGCGAGAGCTACGCACCATATCAGTACAGTGCGAGAAGAGGGAGAAAAAGACGAACTGTTCCCTTGTACAGAGCGAGCACGCCTTCTTTGCGGACGGTGACTTTGAGGATGTCCCAGGTGTTTTTGAACTGTCCTTTAGGAGCTGTTTGTGCCCGCTTTGAACTGATCAGTACCCTATCAGTGATAACAAACCAGACGCACAGTCTTGAGCGTATCAAGCGGCTAAACAATGTCAGTTCTCGCCCGCATCGGCGTGCCGAACTACGCACCTGGCCGACGAGCACCTGCGCAGCACCTCCAAAGCTGCCCGAGATGAGCTCTATGGCGACGTCGTTGCGCTGTTTGGGAGGGACGGGATACTCTGAGATGGGGGTGACTTCTGACATGGCGGATGGAGAACGACAAAGTGAATCTGGGCGGTATATGTATAAGGGCGATAAGCATGAGCCGTTCTCGCGTCATGGTGCGGTGATTCCGAAGAGCGGACATCGCCGCGTAGTGTAAGTCGCCAGAGTGACATGCAGACCTAATGCGCTGGGCTGGAGATGACATGCAAAGACAACAATGAACAGCAACACCTCACCTCCGCCTATCCCTCTCCCTCTCCCTCTCCCTCCTTCGCCCACCATCTTCATATTTCCCCTTGCCAAACACGATCCCCCGCTTCGTTCCCGCCTTCTTCGCTTCTTCCGACTTTTTGTCGCGCTCTTTCTGCCGGGATGTTAGGGCGGAGGGGCCGTATTGAGGGATAAGCGATTCGAGATTCTGTCGGGTGAGCCAGCCGCCGGAGGAGGATGATGATTGGGATGGGGAAGGGAAGGAGGGGGCGCGTTCGTCGATGGATACAAAATCGACCTGTAAAAGAGTCAGTTTTTGTAACAGCAAAATGGTCTGGAGGAACCCACGAGCTGAGAGTAGATATGCGGGTTTGCAAAAGTCGACGATGATAGCAGACGCGTATTGATATGTTCGCCTTGCTCATACTTGAGTTTCAAGAAATGTGCCACTTTTGCCTGTACCACGTTAGCGCAATGACTGGAGATAGCAAGAGACACAGTACGCACAGAAAGAGCCGGATCGCAATCACCCGGATCTACCTCCGCCGGTAAACCCCACTCTTCATCCCCATCTAACGGTCCCGGCCGGAGTACCAAATCGAGTATCTCATCATCGTCCAGTCCCTGCTCCCTCGCTTGGTCGATAATGGAAGGTTTCGCATCTACCGGTGCTAGATCTGGGGCTTGCGCGGAGTCGGGGAGAGAAGATTGGGCGACCTGAGTCAAGTTGGCATCGGGCGGGAGGATCGATACCTCATCGGCCGGGGCTGGAGACTGACGCCGACGTTTGGTAGGACGGAGATTCGGAGCAGGCGAGTTTTTGTGGAGGATTATGCCGGCTGGTGTGCTAGGTTTTGAGATCGGTCTGGCATTGTCTACTTTTTTTCATCAGCTTTCATACTTTTTCTTGTGACGACTTTGTGACTTGCCTGCAGATTTATCTCTTAGCCGCTGCTCTCCCATAGCATAGTGGAAGAGAGGAAATGAAAAGTACAATGGCGCCGTGTGATCAAGTACTCTTCGAAGGAGATTCGGGGCAAACTTACGGATGGGCCTGCTTGGGCTTGCGGTCGAGATTGGGCTTCAGGGGACGAGTCGTCCGAGTAATGCACAAGGCCTGTCATTCATGAGCACAACTCTCACTAAGACGGAGGTTGCTTACCTTGCATGGCGGTGATGGTGAATGTTTTAGACGTAGATGAATTGTTGTTGCAAGAGGTTATGCACTGGCGGCGGCCCCCGCCCATCCGGTGGAGGCCCGGTGGAGGCACTCCACTACATCATCGACTTGAAATTGCATCTCTTCCCTCTTCCACAACATAACATGCTCCGCCTCCCCCCACGCCTGGCCCCTCTCCACAAAAGAATGTCCTCCACCCTCCCCTCCCTCAAGAACGAACTCGCCTCCTCCAAATCCCCCTATCTCCTCCAGCACGCCCAAAATCCCGTGCACTGGCAAGAATTCACACCCCAAACCATCTCCCTCGCTCGTCAGCTAAACAAGCCCATATTTCTCTCTTCCGGCTATTCAGCGTGTCATTGGTGTCATGTACTGGCGCACGAGAGTTTTGAGGATGAGGAGACGGCGGGGATGATGAATGAGTGGTTTGTGAATGTGAAGGTGGATAGGGAGGAGAGGCCGGATGTGGATAGGGTTTATATGGGGTATTTGCAGGCTGTGAATGGGGGTGGGGGGTGGCCCATGTCCATCTGTAGGTTTTATCTTTGGACGTTTATGGTGATGTGCTGATAAGAGAAATAGTTATGACACCGAATTTGGAACCTTTCTTTGCTGGCACATACTTTCCGCGTACGCGCTTTCAAGCGCTTCTCAAGCGGATCAACGAGCTCTGGGAAGAAGACCAAGAAAAGTGCGAACAGATGGGCAAAGGCGTCATCCATGCCCTCAAGGACATGAGTAACGCTGTGCGTCCCTTCAATCTTTCCCTTCCCTGGGAGAAGCAAGCGCTCATAGAGTCACTAGCCGAGGACGAGCGCATCCCTAACAGAGCTCCTATCAACATCCCCAGCCTCCAAACTCTTCTCCTCCCTCGCAACACAACACGACCCGCGCTACGGCGGCTTCACCCCCTCCGGCCCACGCTCCCGCGGTCCCAAATTCCCATCCATCTCCAACACCCTCGAGCCCCTACTACGTATCGCCACCATCCCCCACTCTTCCCATTCCGAGGGCGGGACGGATAAAGAGATAATCGAGGAGGCGAGGGAGATGGGGATGGGGATGTTGAGAGGGATGTGGAAGGGTGGGATCAGGGATTGGGTGGGTGGGGGGATGGCGAGGTATAGTGTTGATGAGAAGTGGATGGTGCCGCATTTCGAAAAGATGTTGTACGTCCCCTTCTCTCCTCTCCCTCCCCCCATCTTCACTTCCCTCAACAGGAGCTGACTCTTATCAGATACGACCAAGCCCAATTAATCTCCGCCTCCCTCGACTTTTCCCTCCTCTTCCCTCCTTCCCACCCCGACCGCAAAATATGCCAAGACCTCGCTGCCGATACACTCAAATACACCCTCCGCGACCTCCAAAGCCCCGAAGGCGGGTTTTGGAGTGCGGAAGATGCTGATAGTGCTGCCGGGCCGGGTGCGAAGAAGACGGAGGGGGCGTTTTATATTTGGGATAAAAAGGAGATTGATGAGGTCCTGGGCCCTGATGGGGCAGCTGTGTTTGAATCCTTCTTCGGCCTGCAAGACGAGGGGAATGTGGATTTGGTGCATGACTCCCATGGCGAGATGCGCGGCAAGGTTTGTCTCCGTCTTTCTCTTCTCTGTTCTGCTCAGAAGCCAAAAGGCTGACGGGGATACAGAACATCCTCCACCAACACAAAACATTCGAACAAGTCGGCCTAGAACAAGGCCACTCCCCACAAAAAGTCCAGCAAATCATTTTGGAGGGGTGTGAAAAGCTCAAAGTCGTGCGCGACAAACGCGAAAGGCCGGGGTTGGACGATAAGATCTTGACAGCGTGGAACGGTCTCATGGTCCGTCCCCTCATCCTTTTCTTCTTCCCATTTACAATGCTAATGAGATGTGATGTACAGTTAACTGCCTTGAGCAAAGCATCCACCCTCCTCCTTCCCTCATACGCCATCCAGCCCCAATGCCTCCCCACCGCCATCCGCCTCGCCTCCTTCCTCAAATCCACCCTCCTCAACCCCACCTCCCATGAACTGTATAGGTCTTACCGCCAAGGTCCAGGGCCTTCAGGGCAGACGGACGATTATGCTTTCTTGGTCCAAGGTTTGCTCGAGTTGTATCAAGCTACGGGGGATGAGGCGCATTTGTTGTGGGCGGAGGAACTTGAGAAGAAGCAGGAGGAGTTGTTCTGGGATAAAGAGGGAGGAGGGTGGTTTGTGAGTAAGGAAGACGAACATGTGCTTGTCCGTATGAAGGATGCCCAAGTACGCCCTGCCTCTCCCTCTCCCCTCTCCCTCCCTCCCCTTTTCATACCCAACCGAGAAATGAGGACGATAGCTAACGCAAAACGCAGGACGGCGCCGAGCCCTCAGCAGCATCCACCTCAACCCAAAACCTCTCCCGCCTCTCCCTCCTCCTCTCCTCCAACTACGCCCACTACGAATCCCTCGCCGAATCCACCTTCCTATCCATGGCGCCGCTTATCGCCCAAGCCCCCCGAGCAGTAGGCTACGCCGTTGCCGGCCTCGTGGATCTGGAGAAGGGATGGCGGGAAGTGTTGATAGTGGGGAAGAAGGATGATGCCAAGGTGCAGGGGTTTTTGAGGGAGGCGAGGAGGGAGTATAGGAGTAATCAGGTTATCATCCACCTCGATCCTGATCACTTACCGAGGAGGATGGGGAATGATGTGGTGGAGGCGCTGGTGAAGGGGATAGATGAGGGGAAAGAGGAGGGGGCGAGTTTGAGGGTATGTGAGGGTGGGGCTTGTGGGATGGCGGTTTATGATCTTGAGGGTGCGAGGGAGTTGTTGGGGTGAGGGGAAAAATGTATTTGTACCAATATATGATATGCCACTTGTCAAACGATATAAACACATCAAGACAAGATGAATGAACCATGATACATGTCCATGTCCATTTATGATAACCAAAGAGACACAACGAAAGCGAAAGGAACCTATTATGCTACAAGTAATCCAAAACAACGAAACGGTGGGAAAATGCTATTTCAAGTGCGTTATATAGTATGTAGAGTCGGGGGTCCTCGGCGGGTTTTTATACAAAAGTCTACAGAGTATATGAGGTAGCTGGGAAGTGGGTTATCCGTTGAGTCGAGCGGCGAGAGCTTTTTGTTGAGCCATCCTCTCCACTGGATCAAGCTTATCGTCAGCTTTTTGTCCTCGGGTTCTCGGGTTATCAAAAGGAGAATGAAAGAAAAAAGTCTCACTGCCGCTCATCTTGCTCCCAAAGCTGCCCGTCTCTTTCGGCTCCCTTTTACTCGACGACAATTTCGATGATGATGAAGCCGAAGATGTCTTTGCTTGTAAATAGAGCGAATGCTGCTTACTCATCGGTTTTTTCCGCTCCCAAAAATGACGCCGCCATGGGGAGGCAAAGGTGGACTCACGGTATAAGCATAGATAGCTTCACTATACATACTAACAGCGTCCTTCTCCCCCGGCGAAGCAAGCTTGATCTCGACTTGTATGCCTGTACGTTCTTTGACGGCAGCTTCCATCTCGCCTGCTACTTTCCGTACTTCATCGCCGTCGCCTTCTCCTTTTTCTTCTCCTTCTTCTCTGAATGACACTTTGTTTCGACTTGGGGATGAGGGAGGGGAGGGAGAGTGTGGATGAAGCGCATGTTCAACATGCTCACAATCGGGCGTTTTCCCCCCCAGATCGTGTGAAATGGACAACGACCTCGGATGAAGCTCCCCGCCCCCTCCGCCGTGGCCCTGCGAACTCAGTGTCCTAATCGACGTCCCAGCCGGCGACGGATGTCCCTGCGACTCATGCTCCAACATCGGCGGATCATGGTCCTCCTCTTCCCCTTCTTCCCCCTCCGAGTCTGTGAGGGGGCAGCGTACAGCGATGTGGGAGAGCTGGGAAGCGAGGATATCTTCGGCGGTGGTGATCTTCTTGATCGACGGTAATGCCGCTGGCCGGGGGACGTCTTTCGCGCGGTGTTTTGTCCGGGGGATGATGGGGAGGGTGGTGGGGGCGTCACTGCCGGGGGCCAAGTAGGGCATCGTCTGTATAGTTGAATATTCCCAGTTGTAGATGAATATAAAGGAGAACCAAATGGGAGATGACGACGCAAACAAGGAACACACGGTGGGGCGCGGTGGGGCCCGCCGGGGACAAAGGGACAGATGATGTAAGACCCCGGATGGGCGCTAGCCGGCCGCGCGGATCACCGGATCACCGAGCGAAATGCCGAACGGGAGTATCCTGCCAGGCTGCCACAGCGTGGGGGCAGGCAGGGTTCAGGGGGCAGGGGGGCATGGAAGCCAGGCAGTATGGGGTGCTACCATAGACAGCTTCTAAAGTAGATCTGAATGTTAGATCCTGCGCCCAACAAGTGTATCCAAGTACAAGATCTGGCACGTTGAAGGTTGAACCCGCTCAGAAGCAGCTACGTATATGTATGTACTCCAAGTTGATCGATCAATGCAGTGTTCATATCGTTCGTCATCTCGTATCCAAGCTACGTACAGAGATACCTCCAATCGAGGAGCTGAACCTTACATGCGCCGGTAAATGCTGGCATGCTGGACTAGCCGTAGCAGTGTGCTCGGACACATAAAGTACTCGTACTCGAGTACACTAGCTTCTTTCGTGGCGTTGCGCTGTTCTACATTCCCTCCCTTATGGCGTCACTTTCAAAGGGCACGTTGAAAGAGAATGATGTATGTAGTAGTAGATGCAAGAAGGGTTCGACAATACATGTTGCGCTACAATACAAATAATGGGTATCCAATAGGTAGAGAAGACGCAAAACAATCTCGTTCGATCGATAAAGACTGTTGTGATGAGGAGAGGAGTAGTGATACGGAGGAAGGAGGAACGGAGAATGCAGAATGGGGCACATCTCTTCTTTTCTTTTTCTGGGTCAAAATGGTAGGCTGTTGGGGGGGTAGAGTAAACTATAGACATAATGAAAAGGTTTTCGAAAGAAATTGTCCTCTTTGTCCTATGTGGTAGGTATGTGGTATGGTAGAATGATGCGAGGAAGGGGAAAGTGTCCGTTTATTGTAGTACTTCGGGATGAGGGATACCAGACTTTGTCGAGTGGCGGATAGCGAGGGGGCGAGGTCAAAAGAGAGTATGCGGTCGGAAGGTGGTCGATGGATAGAGGGGTGGAGAAGGGGGGAGACATGGGAAGAGAGAGTGGGGGCGACTTATGAAGAAGTCCCATTCGCCACAAGCGACGCAAACCCAATTGCCGCAGGCTCATACCTGAACGCCGCATACACATTCTTCAAGAATGCCGCGCCGACGATCCATTGGATCGGGGATCTTGATGACCTTTTGACAATTCCATCAGCCAATGCCCCCCACACACTTGCCCAAAACGCGGGAAGAAGAGGGAAGGAACTCACATCTGCTGCTCAAAAAACGCCCCCGTACACATACTCTCATCATCCGTAAAACTGCCCAAATTCATATCCTCCCCATCCATCTCATACTCTTGCCCTCCAAACGTAAACGTGACACTGGCAGTAGCATTGCAAGGGAACTGGTAGTACCCCGCGCTGCCGACGACGGACGAGTCGAGGGGTTCAGAGTTGGGGATTTGGGCGTAGATGGAGGAGATTGTGGAGGAGGGGACGCCGATGAGGGTTGTGCCGGTGTCGATGGCGGCTTGGGGGGAGGACTTTTTTTTTGTGTTAGGGGGTGTTTGAGAGGAGGGGGGAAAGGGAGGGGACGTACGAGGGAAATGTCATCGCCGTTAACGCTCAAGCCTTCCACAGCGATACGCCAGTAATCCTTCGCAGAATCGTCGATCGAGATGTAGTTCAGATCCCCACTATACTTGGACGAATCCACACCCCTACACCATCCATCAGCTTCCATCCCATCCCAAGAAATGAAAGAGAAAATGAAAGAGAAGAGAGAGGCGTACCCAAAAGTAATCTCCCCACCCTCCTGCTCATCATTCGTAGCATTATCCACCCCCCTAAACCGCGCCATATAAACCCCAAACTCGGGGTCATCCCACTGCCCTGTAGACGCGAGCGTCTCCCACCATGGGGACGCGTTGGAGGAGGCGAGCGCCGTCCAGCCAAAGCCCATTATACCGGAGAGAGGTTCGTCAATGAGGCCGCTTGTTGCTTGGTCTACCACAGCTTTTGGGCCATCAGCTCTTCTCTCTACAGAAAGGGTAGAGGGGAAGAGGGAGGGAGGGGGAGGGGGACGTACCGAAAGTGGTATTGGCAAGGGAAAACCCAGCAAGGTCGACGACGTCGGTTCCATAGTCGCCGGCAGCACTGCCAGAACCATAGGTGATACGAAAGGTACCATCGGCTGTTTGGTAGGATGTGGAAGCGTTCTTGTTAAAGGTTTCGACGTCTTCACAGAAATCGGCAGAACATCCGGATCCAGCGGCCCACCTATGAAGTCATTAGCATGGTGTCTTGGCAGGGTGGAAAAACGGGAAGAAAAAAGCGTACAGGTCGGAAGAACCGGTGTCGAGGACGAGCAAAAGGTCTTGCGCGGGGGTACCAATAGAGACCGTACCAGCATATGTCCCATCATAGTTCAAATCCTCCAACCTACATCCCATTCATCAGCTTTGACCCCCAAAAGCGCAATCGAAAGGAACACCCACTGCACACTCCCCGAGTCCCTCTTGCTCATCCCAATGAGCTTCTTCCACTCTTCGTCCAAGCTCAGCGCGTACTTTGCCTGGAGCGACTTGGCCTGGTGTTTGAGCCATGCCTGGCGCTCGACGAGAGAGTCCGAGTATTGGCGGGAAGCGAGGAGCTTGAGGGGGAGCTTGCTGGTGACGGCTGTACCGGTCGGTCCGGGGGCTACGTTCGCGCTAGGGGCGGGGAGGGCGGTGGTGAGTGCGAGGAAGGGGAGGAGTGCGAGGAGGGGGAGCATGGTGAAAATGAGTGACTGAGTATTATAAAACAGGCAGGGTGGAGATGCATGCCCACAAGCTGGAGGGGGTTATATACTGCAGGGGGGCGATGCGGTGAGACGGGATGTTTGTCGCGCTAGACACTAGCACATGTTCCTTATCAGTCTACAGATCGTGCCTGCACTGATTAGCGAAATCCCTTACCGCATTACCACCTCATCATCTGCCGATTAGCATCCCCTTCTAATGCATCGCAGATAATTCCTAATGCGTCACAATTGGTGTTTAGAGTGTTTCGGGCCAAGCCATCCGAATCCGGCGCATCTTGCCATTCTTGCCTTGCTCCAAAAATTTGAATGCGGGTATACATTATGGACCATGCACTCGGGACGAGCGTGGATCGCCGAATTCATCCTGCATGGACCGCTTCGAGCGAAAACCGTATGTACGACTGGATACGGACAGCCATGTGTATGTACCCGGGCCAAGAAAGACGAAGTCGCCCCTTCCGGTACTTCCGTCAGACCCTGGGCCGGCTCGGCGGTCAGACTCAGGGCTCACGTCAATCCAATTTCGAAGGCCAGCCGGATGTCCATTCTTTCCACGTGAAAACGAAACAGAGGCCAGAGGCCAGAATCCAGAAGGCCTAGAAAGCGTGTATGTATGAACCTTACATGATCTTTATATGTTTCACGTTACTGTCTCATTGCTCCCTTCATACGCGGCTTGTTGAAACACTTGTCGTTGTTCATTGAACGCGTCCGTTTGGGTGTGTAATGTTTGCGTTGGGTTACCGGTCTTCGGTCTTGCCTTGCTCGTTGAGCACTTCGAGAACCATCGGCTTACTGGCCTCCAAAGTAGAGGAGAAGAGCATGAAAGGTCCCAGCCACTCGGCATGCCGCAAGAACAAAGCATTACATATCAAGACCCTTTTGTAGAGCATACATCTACTCCCAAACAGCAACCATCCTGACTTCAATACTCTCCCTCGGCCCCACCAACCCCTCCTCAACCCCCTCCGAATCATCCATCTCCGCCGCCACATGCCCCGCATACAACGCACCCCCATCCGAGCCTTGCAAACTGTCATAGCATTTCAAGACGACGATCTCGTCGGGTGTCATGTGCCGGAGGTAGCACCATTTCTGGGAGGGGGCGTAGTGGATCTGGATACCGGTGCCGAATTGGGATTCTTGTTTGGCGGTGTCGGAGGGGGAGAGGGTGGGGAAGTGGAGCATGCAGAGGGGGGAGCTGGTCACGGGGCCTGCTTGAACCTTCAGTGATGGGACAAGATGGAGGAGGGGGAGACTTGCCTTTGAGAGGCCGCCAGATGTTGATGATCATACTCCGCTTGAACGTTGTAGGATCTTGCTTCGTAGCCATCCGTACAACATTCGGCGCCCATATCTACACCCCTCATCAGCACAGAACACAGCCATTACGGGTAATAAAAACATACTTCATCTTGATCCACATGAGCATGACTGGCAGGGGGCTGTATGATACTAGTCGGTAGGAAACCTTCTTCGGGCCCTTTTTGTCGGTCGACGATGGTGGATTGTTTACGGTCGGATTTGCGGACGGTGGAATTCCATTGGTAGACTTGTGTACAGTTGAGATAGCTTCGCATCAATCTGATCATATGTCATTTCTCTAGCCAAAAAAAAAAAAAAGGAAAATGAAAGATGGCGTACTCGCAAGTCTCCTCCCGATACCTCTCAGCGCCCTCAAGACCCCCAATCTCCCCCACAAACCGACTTTCATGCCCCGCAACAGCCCACCCTCTCTCGTGCACTTGATCATAAACCGCCCTTGGACCCTCGACCATCTCGTGGCGGATATCGTGTAGCTGGATGTCGATCGTCTCTTGGGGGCGAGGGTTCTCGGGCAGGCCGGGGGTGTAGATGAGGAAGGAGGAGGGGTCGAGGGAGGGGGGGAGGCGGGCGTTGGGGATGCCGAAGCGGGCTGTAGCTTTTCGCGTTGGGGGGTCGATGGAGGGCATGGTGGAGGATGTACTATGTACAGTGGACGAGTGGGGTTCATAAAAGGAGTGCGAGATATTTGAACGAAATATATACGTATGAGATGGGAAAAGATGGACGTGGACCGATAACGAAGGTGTCGGGTTTGTCCGAGAAAACACCTCCGGATGGGTTCGGGCAACCGATCAGCAATGCGATTGCGATGGGCTTCCGTCACGGCGTTACGCCGTTCCAGAAAGTATTGATAGCCTGCTCTCCTGTCTACTTATACACGATATATATGGAGATGCATGTATACAGCCAAGAGTACATAGGAAAGTCTCATAATCTTCTTTTTCGGAGGGATGGCTGTAACCACGAGAGCGATCGGTACCCGCCCGTCTCAGAATTGACTTGGTTCCTGTGTGACTTTTATCTCGATCGTCACGGACGCGACTGATTTCTCGAGTGGTATGTGAATGATCAGAGGGATCACAAATGAGATCGCGGCGAGAAGATGATGATGGTCTCAAAACGAATCTTCGAGGTGCCCGGATCTGTGCGGGTTCGTGTCTTCAAGTCGTCTTCCACTACCTGCTTCTAAATCCCTCCATTCCATAAGGCATCTCCAGCAATACCCCGTTATTTCAGCCACTTGAGATGATAAAGTATCACTGTTCTCCTCATCATCCTCGAGTTTTACCGGTAACATTTCAATTAAAGATCGTATTCGACTGAAAATACAGTCGGGGGGCGGCGCGCCTCGACCAAACTGCCAGTTCTGAAACCGATCAATGGTCTGGCGCCCAAAGTCCAGGCAACATGAGTGGAAAAACATGGCGTAATCTTCGAATTCAGTGGAAGAGGGGAAGGGGTGACGAAAACAGGCAGTAGACAGGTTCTCAAGAGGCCAAGGCATCCGGACGCACGGGCCAAATCCTTGTGGGAAGCATAGCTCACAGTACGCTTCAATACAGTCGGGCTCGAAAGCGATGTGCATGACGCCGCTGAAAAGACCGGTGAGACTCCTCTCTTCCCATTCGTGCGCTAAAGCAGCAGTGGCATCAATAGCCGACAAAGACGTGATGATCAGGGATTCGCAGTTGCGGAGCAGCTCGTGCTTGCTGGGCAGTGACCCTCCTCCCCCTATGGCGTACGGAGGCGTGCGTGCAGTGTTCTCTTGCATCTGCATCTCTTCCACCCAGTACAGCAACCAACTTGGATCTGCGGGTCTTGCGAGAGTTGCCAGCCCGGGCTGGAGCATCCCGGTACATGTGATGTCGGGGGCAGAGATGGGCGGTGAGGTATTGGCGTTGGGGCGGTCATCGAGTGGGGGATGGGTATGGGTCATGGCGGGCGAAAGAGGGTGGGATAGGATGAAGATTGAAGATGGTTCGATTGTGCTCACAAGGATTTTGGTACAGCTTCCATTAGAAGTGCCAATTTCTATTCGCCATTACAACTCTATCAATACTCGTGCAGTATGTACGATACTCGGCTCGTACTATATGAGTCTGGTATTACTCTACTGTACTCGTACTCGAGTATTGTACATACAAGTCACAACTGAGCATCTTGGATTATACGCGAAGAATACTATAGGAATGCATCATCCTGTAAAGAGACAACCAAATACGCAGACTACTACAACTCGTACCACCCATGAAAGAAACGCCCAATCACCTACAATATGAGCCCAAACTACACCTCCAAAACCGCCGTAGTCGTCCCATACACCTTCTTCTCATCCTCCTCCGGCGTACTGTTATCCACATCCCTCCCGCTCATACCTATAACCGGTACCCCATCCTCTCCTATCTCCGGCTTCCCGACCTCTCCCGGGGCATCTCTCCAAGGTGCTCCAGCGACGTACATTTCTACTTCTTCCTCTGTCCATTCCCTAAACTTCAGTCCTCTAAATCTCTTAAAGTTCTCTTGAGGGAAGAAGACTGCCGCGAGGAGGTAGTATGTCAGGCCAGATGCACAGCCGGTGGTGATGAACGCAAAGTAGAAAGACCGAACGACAGATGTGGAGAAACCTCTAACGCCCATATTGTTCAAGACTAAGCTCTCATTAGCTCTTCCATAATCCACAAGACAGGGAAGATCAACGTACACCCAGCAAAGTTCACCCCCGCCCCAACGACATACGCCGCGATAGCCCTCCAATTGATACCCCACTTGTACCAATACATCCCCTCCTTGTTCGCCGTGTACATCCAGCCCAAGTCGAGGCGGCCTTTAGAGATGATATAGTAGTCGACGAGGCAGACGCCGATGATGGCGAAGAGGAAGATTTGGTAGGAAGAAATGAAGGAGATGAAGATGGAGGCGGAGCCGAGGAGGTACCATGGGCAGATACTGCTTTTCATCAGCCTCTGCTTTCCTCGAGTTGGAAGGGAAGGACTTACACGACAGTGACGATCATACAGACTGCAAAAGCCCTCTTCATAGATATATATTTCGGCGCCAACGAACTGATATCGTTCCCCGCCGGCAACACATTCTCAAACACACAGGAAAACAACGCCGAATACGCGAAGCCGGCAGAGATGATGGCAGCGCCCGCACGGGTCTTGGCGTCATAGTTGGTCGTAAGGATATGGTCGAGGTATGTGAGGGGGTTCCAGATGAGGGTACCGGTAGCGCGTTCGGAAGAGGCAGCTACGATCATGCCAAAGAGAGTCGTGATGAACTACTTGCCAAGATCAGTCTGAGGGTGCAGTTGGAAGAGAAGACACGTACGTTAGACAAGGGGAATCCGAATATTTGACCAAAGATGGGGTCTCGGCGATGCGTAGCGTTCCTCTGCCAATCGCTCGCGTTACTAGCAAAAGTCGAGCATCCCGCCGCCGCAAGCAAGGTGAAACGAACGATCAGCCATACCCTCTCGCTCCCATGAACCCTCGCCTTGGCGGTAAGCGTATCGCCTACTCCACCGCTGTGCGTCAACGCAAGAGCGAGCATGCCAACCGAACTGAGGACGTAGGCGACAAGCTTGATATGGATCAAGATCTTCCACTTTGGCACCGACAAAAACAAGGCCATACCGGTGAATGCCCAGAACAAGAAGAAGCCGATCATGTTTGCCGAGGACAGTGATGAAGAGGACGGCATCTTGTTGGGAAGACGAGCGATGGAGGGGAAGATGGTGTGGAGGAAGATGTAGATGCACTGCCCGCCGGTGACAGTGTTGACGCCGTTCCAGACACAGGCGGAGAGAGCGCGGTTGAAAACGGGCCAGAAGGATCCGTAGACGCCGAAAGAAGACCGACAGTAGACTGGGAAACCGACCTATGGAGGGTCAGTGACGCCCGGTAGAGTATGATACGGTACAAGGTGGGTGCGAGACGTACGTGGTAGACGGAGCCGGCACGACCGTTGATGACCATGAAGAAGGAGATCAGGAGATAGCCGAAGAAGTTGCAGAGGATACCATCCCAGACCGAGATACCGTACTGAAACCAATCAGCTTTAGATAACGTGAGATCGATAGCTACTCACAGACAAGAACGTTCCACCACCGAGCCAGTTCGCCACAGTCCCCACGGCGGAGAACCAGAAGACGCTGAATGTCATAAAGTCCCATGTTCTACGGCACGTCAGCAGATCGTCCGCTTTTCAGACGCAAGACGACTCACCGCCTCTCGATAGGAATAGGAAGCAGGTCATCGTTCTCAAGAGAGGCCTCTCGCCCTTTGGACCCCTCCACCACCAGCTTTGGCATACGGAATCGAAGTCCCATTTTGGTGGTGAAAAAAAGCTAGAAGGGATAGGAAATTATGAGAGCAGCACCCTATGGTTATATACGGATTCCAGCCAACGGGGATAGGGATGGATTTGCTCGGAGTCTTCTTATCGGAAGAGGCACGGCGGGTGGTTCTCGGCGAGGGCTGTCACACAAACACCCCCGACGTTCATCCGGTGGCCGACGGACTTGGCGTGATATGTATGGCTGGCGATAGTTACCGGATCCTGGACCCTGGAGGTCTTAGTGCCCACCAGAGGAATGCAAGAGATTCTCGAAGGCGGTTAAGGAGGCGGGATGGGTATGGAGACGGCTGCAAGGGATGAGTCTTGACCCACGTAAAAGGCCCACGAACCTGAGCATTTTACACGCATATTTGAATTCGACCCTGGGTAGCACGTGGGTAATTGTCTTGCGTTGGTTCTCGGGAGCTGATAAGAGATGGAAGCAACAAAAAGGCAACCCAGGTACGACGCTTTCCCTGAGACCATCGGTGAAGTCCGGTGGTGGCAGAGATAACAGCATCCAATTCTCGGCGTCTTATTTGGTTGTCTTAACAGGGTCGCCATGATCCCCAGGGATCCCAGGGAATCCCTCTCTGCTCAAGTACGGACTGTGGCTTTTTCGGCCTTGGCTTCGGCTTGTTTGATACGATAAAGTCGGAGCTGCTGTACGAACAGGGACACCAGCCAGCTGTCATTTTTGTCGTACGTCTGGCGGTTCATGGTCGATGAGAAATGACTGATGCAGAATTCCCAGGTACCTAGCCGGTCTGCGTTGGAGAAGTTCTATAAACAGCCTTCATCCCCTACACATCCCACTCCTCATCGCAATCTACAAAGCTCGGCAGCAGACGTCGTAGTAAGTTTTGTTTCTCTGGGCATGTCAGGGCAATTGGCCACCGTTGGCATCGTTGGCTTGAGACATGAGAAAGAGAGGACATGGACTTCCTTTCAAGTCTCATAACATTCGGTCGCCCTCCGGGATGGTCACGGTTGCAGCCACTACAAAAGATAGGTCACTGACCGTCTCATAGTTTCTCGCCGACTATATAACCGCCGGTCCCTCGCCACAGCTCCTATTCTGCCAACCTCAATAGCCCATCCACCTCTACAGTATGCCGGTAGCAACTGCTCCCCAGCTATACGCCACACTAGGCTTCACTCTTCCGCCGGCTCGTATGGACCACGACGAGTCTATCTATCTTACTTGGGAAGAGGGACGAACCAAGCCGCTCGAACGGTTGCGCATCCCCGTCAGTAATCTCCGAGGGGAGCTGGACATGCCAGAACAGGAGAGAGTGGATCCAAAGGAGCAGCTTGGAAAGAGAGGGTTTGCTGTCCTGAAACATGAGAGTGCTAGCTTGGGAGGTCTCGGGACGGAGGAAGGGACTGCAAAGTATCTTGACGAGACCGCCGAGTAAGCCAGTCTCCTATCTACGGTTGTATCGGTAGCTAATGTTGTCTATAGCCTTCTCAAACGTATCCTCGGCTGCGATAAAGTCATAGCATGGAACAGCGTCGTCCGAAAGAACACCACCGACACCAAAGAGAAGATCATCAACAAACAGCAAGCGCCCGAGAAAGGCTTCGTCCCGACGTCGAGGGTACAGCCGACAGCTGGTGTGGCGCACGTTGACCAAAATGCAGTGAGTTCTTTTCTTTCTCCCTCCTTGCGGATATGTATACTGATAGCGTATTCAGGAGTGGGGTTTCGAATTGTGCGGGAAAGCCATCGGCAAACCTGCTGGTGAATTCAAGCGCGTACAGATCATCAATCTCTGGCGTCCTCTCCACGGCAAGTCCCATATATGCCAGCTCGCCCCCCTCCAGAGCTAATCTCATCTACAGGCCCCGTGACAAACGCCCCTCTTTTCATGCTTGACCCCACCACCCTCTCCCCGCAAGATCTTGGCACCCACGCCTCCCAATTCGGCTCCGGCTACGACATCCACCACTCTCCCTCCCAGCGCTGGGCCTACATCCGACATCAAATGGCGGATGAAGCGATCTTGTTGAAGTGTTATGATACGGATCAAGGGAAGGGCGGTGAGGTGCTTTGGTGTGCCCATGGGGCGGGGACGGTTGATGGGGATGGTCTCGCTAAGGAAGGGGAAGAGGAGAGGCCAAGGGAGAGTGTTGAGGTTAGGCTGGTGGCTGTTTGGGAGTAACGTCTGGGGTTTGTGAAGAAGACGGGCAGAAATATGATCTGGTGTCCGGTATGTTGTGATCTTACATGTAGATCTTGAGATTGGATTGTGTACTCTTCGCGATGTGGTTTGCCAGAATCGGCAATTCGATAGAATGTATTCGTCAAAGCTGGTAGTATCATCAACGGCCAGAGGCAGTATTGCTGCAGTTCTGTATCCTACAGTGCACACATGCCAAATGCATGATTCGAAAGTGACAGGCGTAGCATACGCACCTGACCGGAGAACGCACAGTGCTCGGGACACCACGTCTTGAATGATCATTGCTGATGTTTATTGATCACCGCTGATGTGTTTTGTGTAACGATCGGCGACGATGATCAATGATAAGCGATGATATTCAGTGATGAGCGATGTTATTTCAGTGATCATCTCTGGTATTCCCATGAGTGGTACCCATATGTTCATGGATGGTTACCTTCATCTGACTGAACAGCTGATGTGCTGATTGTACAGCGGCCTGATACGAGGTGACAGAATGGCCTTCATTACTGGCCAGGCCTTACTAAAACCCGTCGTTGTCGTAGACTGAATTTCGTTCGTGCCAACAGGCATCATGGTAATGGGTTCGTATTATAGTCTTCGAGCCTATGGCGCCTATGTAGACCCATGATGACTAGGAGAGAGACAACAAATGACCTATGTGTATCGAGAAGCCACCAAAGCCCAGAAGTCAGAAGTGTACAATGATGGGATGCATCTAGTCAAAGACTTGAATGAACGAGCACATAATGCGTTCGAAGTCCGTGTATGCTACGTAGTATATCTATCGTCAAATATATAAACTTGGCCAAGATCCAAACGTGTATCATGATCGTCATTGAGGCATCAAGCACTCTTCTCCGAATTCGTTTGAGTGTCCGTGGATAGCGTATCGCAGAGTCGTCAATAGGGCAAGAAAGCAAAGAAAACGTCCGGCTTTTACTGAGCATTGAGGAGGGGAGCAAAGCCGATAGCTGTAGGGTCGTTCCGGAAAGAGGTATACACATTCTTGAGGAAGGAAGCGCCGACGATCCACTGGATAGGAGACGAAGAAGACCTAGGACTCAACATCAGCTCCATCCATCCGGATGGGCAGAAGTAAAAACTCACATCTGTTGTTCAAAGAAAGCTCCCGTACACATGCTACTGTCGCTTGTATACGATCCAAGGTTCATGTCTTGATTGCTCATCTCGTACTTTTCCCCGCCGAACTGAAAGACGACCGAGACCGTAGCGTTGCAAGGGTACTGCCAATATCCATTTCCGGCGATACTGGCGTTGAGAGGCTGAGATCCTGGGATTTGAGCAAAGATGGCTTGGACGGCGGAGGGAGGAGCGCCGATGAGGGTGGTACCGGTGTCGATAGCAGCTTGTGGTTGAGACTGCCGGTGATTAGCCAAATGTTGGTGTTTTGGGGAATAGCGACTCACGATGTTGATGAAGTTGCCGTTGACGGTCAAGTCTTCCACAGGGATGCGCCAGTAGTCTCGGGCTGAAGAGTCGATGGAGACGTAGTTGAGTTCACCTACAAACTTGGTACGATCGACGCCACTTCTCTATGATTAGTCGCGGCGCAGACGTAAGAAGTACGACTCACCCGAAGGTAATGGATCCACCGTCTGTCTCGACTCTAGAAGCGTTCGTATTCCCTCTGAATCTCGCCATGTAGACGCCAAACTCGGGAGAATCCCATCGGCCGGAGGTCGCAAGGGTCTCCCACCAAGTCGCTTCTTTGGAGGTGGAGACGTTCTGGAAGGCAAGGCCCATGATGCCGGAGACGGGGGCGCTGATGAGTCCGTTGCTCGCTTCGTTCGCGATAGCTATACTGCCCTCAGCTTGATCGGTGACTGCGCTCGTCGTGACGTACAGAAGGAGATATTGGGTAGGGAGAAACCAGCGAGCTCTATGACGTCGGTGCCAAGGTTGCCGGAAACACTACCTGAGCCGTAGGTAATAGCGAAGGTGCCGTCGGTCTGTTGGTATGTAGACGAAGCGGTAGGGTCGAACCTCTCTCCGTTACCACATGAACCACAAGCCGCACCTGCCGCCCAGCTGATGATCGTTGATCAGCGCCAAGATCGTCGGTGAGAGTCTCACTCACAGATCAGCCGAGCCAGTGTCGAGCACGAGGAGCAGCTCTTGAGGAGGTGTGCCGATGTGAACAGCTCCTAGATACCAGCCATCGTAGTCAACATCCGTGAGTCTGAGACAAGTCAGCTGCCTATACAAACCGCTATCGATCAAAAAGCTTACTGAGCAGTACCAACATCCCTCTTCTCATTCATGCCGATATATTTCTTCCATTCTTCGTCGAGCTCGGGAGCATACTTGTGCTGTAGAACAGCCGCTTGGTCCAAGAGCCATGCCTGTTTCTCGGACAGAGAAGGTGAGGACTCGCGAGAGGGCAAGCGCTGGAGTGGGAGTGTGCGTGGCGGCGTATTGGGACCGGTGTGGGGACCAGTGGCTGGACCGTTGTGCGACACCTTTTTGCCAGAGGGGTGGGCGTTGACCAAGAGGATGAGAGGAAAGAAAGCGGCGAAGGAGAAGAGCATGGTGACAGAACAAGAGAGATGGAGGGTGAAAAACAAGAGATGTAAAGTCCATTCATTTGTCATTTATACTGCTGGCGAGTGGGGGTGGCAGGCCCCGCCAGGAACCCAATATGTGATCGAGTCTGCATGTTGCTTTGAGCGTGTCCGTGGTATCAGAGGCTCCCGTATATACATCGTGCCGCGTCTCTGTCCGTAACCTTTTCCCACCGATGTATTCTCGTATAAACCACCTCACCTATATCCATCCTCATTCCTCCAGCCTATTCAAGGTCGACATCTGGCACCCCTAGCCAGATCCCTCACGTGACTGCTCCAAGGTCGTATGCATCTCTCAGAGCGCAGCTTCTCATATGGGACAGCCATTTCAAGACTACAATACAAAAACACATCTACCAATTCATCCTAGATCTCTTTCTCCTCGCGCAAGTCTTATGCACTGCCACCCCGGTCTCGGAAGACGCACCAGCGCCAGTGGCGGTAGAACCAGAATCTGAAGAAGGAGACGAAAGAGAGACGGAAGAACTCTCGATGACGGCAGCTACATTAGTAGCAATCGCCTTTGAGACTGTTTGAGTTGATGAGGCAACTGGGCTGTTGTCGGAAGAGGACAGAGAGGCGGCGGTTGTAAAGGCGTCTGAAGAAGGGGAGGAGGAAGAAGGAGCGGTATTCGAGATAGAGCCAGAGCCGCTCGCAGTAGCAGCACTTGAGCTGACAACGACAGAGGAAGAGGAGCTAGCAGCGCCAGAAACCGCCGCAGATGTAGCCACCTCAGACCCATCGGCGAAAGACACAAGCTTGCCAGTCTCGACATAGCTCGCGTCAGGGGACTTGGGACCGCTGCGTCCCCAGACCGGGTTGTTGCCGGGCAAAGCCGAGAGGATAGTACCGTTCACGCCAACGTCCTACAAAATCCATTTAGCACATACGCATGAAGAGTGCTGATGGAAAGGCTAACCTCGTCGACAATAACAGCGTCATCATCCGGCACCACAGTTCCAGCGCCATCTTTCAAGAAGTATTGGGCAAGGGGCGGACAGTTTTCAAGTGAGAATTCGACGTTGCAGGTAGACTTGTATGAGAAGATCTCTTCAAAGTAGCCTTCTGGCCAGCCGTTGGTGAAGTCGCCTGCTAGAAAGTCAGCCAGAGGCTCAGGTGGGAGAAGCCAATGCGGAAGATAAGCAGAAGGGAGAGGAGAGAGGAGACTTGCCGTGAAGAGAGTACCCGAGATCATCGCCCGTGGCCCAAACCCTCGCGCCAGGGGTGTACTCAAAGTCATCCTTTCGCCTAGCATCAGCAAAACACCCTCATATACCAACAAAAGCTCGTGCTCACCGAGAAGTGGAATTCGTAGAAGACTATGAGTAGTGTCAGCTATTGATCGAGTTTTGCTTGTATGGGAAAATAGACTCACGACTCATGATCCTCTTCGGATGAGTAGCAGGACAAGGACCGCCTTGATCGTAGCCACCGGAAGTGGGGTATGCAACGTGCTTACTGTTGAAGTCTATCAGTACTTTCCACATCCAAGAATGTTGCTCGGGCAAACATACCTTCCCTCGAGCCAAGTGTTGACGCCGTCCCTACAGAAGGTCAACAGTCAACATGACAAAACTCGAGTATAGACCGTTGACTCACCAGCAGTTCGGGAAGAATACCTGAGCCCTTAAATCGTCGGGACAGCTCTGCTCCGGGAATGCTACAACATGCCTATCAGCCTCGTCATCTCCCGGGTTTGACAGAAAAGGATCCTACCATTGGTCTGAGGAGAACCATCAACGCCAAGGCAGACGTAGCTGATAGCATTGTTGGTGTAATCCGACTCGTTGTAGGTGTTTCGGCTAGCGTCGCCGGCTAGCATGCGAAAGTCTTTGGGGAAGGGATAAACTTCTTCATCATCACCGGATCTGGTGGACATATCAGCTTCCGCAGTGGGGACAGGCTATGAATTTGAATGCTCACCGACGCATCTGCCATGTTGCAAGACGAAAGAGAGAACGCGCGGACGCGATGGTCAGCCCAGTAATATCGAAGTCGGGTATGCTTACGAGATAGTATCTATCTGAGTATCAGCATACAATCACGACAAGGACGAAACAGTAGGGGTGCTCACGTATTAACACGGTTCATCTTGACAAGCTCGAAACCATCCCCGGACTTCCGATACATCTGAGGAACCCAATAGTTGGACAAATCGACTTCAACGTTCGCGGTGGTCGATTTGGCAGCGGTGGAGTGTGCGTAAGAGTAAGTAGGGTTGAAAGCGGTACCTCCGATGACCGAGTGGACTATGGTGAGCAGTTAGAGAGGTCGAAAAGGGATGGGTTTGACTGTGGAAACGACTGTACTTACCGTGGCCTGCGACGGCGCCGGGACTGACGATAGGGTCGAGACGACTGGTGAAGATGGCGTTACCGTGCATCACAATCCAAAATCTACCATACACATTAGCCTCGCATACCTCCCACAGATATGTTGTTCACTTACGGGTCGGGCCAGGCGGCGGCGCCACCGAGCAAGGCGAGGATACCAAAGAGAGCAAGCATCGTCACGAGTAAGATCTAGCAGAGCAAGCGCTTTGACAGCTGACAGAGACAGCAGGCAGAATTAAGTCTACAAGAAGAAGCGAGGGATGTCGAGGCGGAAGGTATATAGATATAGAAATTCGCAGATAAAGAGCGTGGGGTGAAAGAGGGACTGGAGTCAGAATCAAGAAGATGCCACGGGAGTCCCTTCGAGCGACAGAGGGTGAAAAGTGAAAGAGCGCCGAGGGAAGAGAGCAAAGTGGGCGAGCTCGAGTATATGAAAGGCTGCGTTTCTACCTTTGGGAGAACAACGATAAGCCAGCGAGGCACGGGGTACAGGGGAGATTGAAGCTTGGACCACCACAGCTTTGAACGTCCAAAAGGCGACTGGAGTCTTGAGTACCGTAATAAGGATGACAAATAGAGTTCGCTGTACATGTGGACACTTGCGGTGTACTGCTCGACCGTCCTGATGATCTCTGCCAAGGAGAACAGCGCAACGGGAGAAACAATGTGAAACAAAGGAAGAAAGATCTTGTTGGCACCCGGGGCTGGGCTCAGGGGCTATAGTCATCAAACCGAGGTCCCATATCCGCAGGACAGAGATCTGAAAGGAACGCCAAAATGATCAGAGTTCCCAGAGCCCAGATGGGTTTCAAAGGGGGGCACACATTCTGGTTGTCTGCCTGAGCCTGAAGTTGCTTGACAGATTAACATCCAGAAGGCTGTCTCAGCAGGGCGGATCCGAACGCTGCAGGGAGACTGTGCCGTGCAAACACGCGCAGACCCTGTGGCGTTGTTGAAAGTGATCGCGCTTGAGCCATCGTCGTACAAACCGGCCGCCGATATTCACGTTATACCGACACTGCAAGTAGAGTTCATAGGTCGATAGCAGGACTGTATTCGAACACTGGTACGACGACGATCGCTTCGATGGTGTTTCAGAAGAAGAGAAGACGGACATGATTCAAGACAGGAAGGATAGGGCCGCGCGAACTGTTGGGACTGATGGAAAAGAGCGGCTGCGAGGCAACTGCGAGGTGAGTCCGTTGAAGCATCACTTTTATGGGCCTCCAACATCCGGGGACTCTGTCTTGTATGGAGCTCAGTGGGCAAGGGCGCTGCTCTTGATTCAGCAGGGGCGGCTCCACCATTTGCTCGATTGCGGTGCGCTCATTGCGACATACAGATATGTACTTTTGGGCTGACTCTTGCTATAGCCGGCTTGATCACAGAGGACTATTATCAATGGGTCTACTTTATCGACTTTCACCGCGAAAAGATGGAGGTTTGGAGAAACACTCGGAGAGGCATTTGTCTGGAAAGAGAGGTGACCTTTGAAACGTTGCGAGAAGACCCGGAGTATATGATCAAGACATTCGATGGGGCTCCTGGCGACTGGGAGGACTAGGGCAATCATGACTATCGAGTCGAGCGACCGTCTCCTCTCTTTTCCAAACTTGTTCGCAGCCGCATTGAGATGTCAAAGAAGTCCGTCGTTAACTGTCATTCATTCACACATCTATGAACGGTGGGTATATATATCATGCACGTCCAAGCTCCCGAAAAGACTTCTAGAAGCGGCAAACATGAAAAGACAAAAGATAGTAGAATCTGGAGCGAGTGAAACATAGAATGTCAGAAAAGAGAGAAGTATTGTCCATTGTGAAGATTCCGTTAAAATCTCGGGGGAGGATGGGTAACGAAAAGGCGTATAAAAAGGTCATTTCGATGCAAGATACGAGTCGTTAAATGCAAATGCAAAGAGAGGGAAAAAGAAGTCTTGAGAAGAAACAGAACGCTCAACGTCTAGATGACGCCGTTGAAGGGCACAGAGCTGGGCGTGAGGTTGACGACGTCCTTCAAGATGATGGGCACGACGATCAGGGCGACAAAGATGGCCTGGATGATGATGTACAGGATACCGTCTAGTGAAAGGTCAGCAACGTTCCAAAAAAGAAAGAGAGGTACGCACACTTGGCAACAATCTTCCTTCGCTGACTCCTCTGCCTGAAGCTGTAGATAGGAGGCCTGATCTGCTTGCTGGGGGCGAGCCAGAAGAGCATGGTGGCGTGTACCCTGTCAAAGAAGGGCATCAACATGGGGGGTGTGAGGAGGAAGAGAAGCACTATTGGGTATTTCAGCATAGCTCGTCAACGTCCAGATAAGTACTCACCATGACAAGCGATAAAGTCGGCAGAGTACAAGCCCATCTCAATAGTCTTGACAACAAACTCTCGAGCAGGCTGCGAGAGAGCGTGCGAGCCGAGACCCCTGTTGAACCACACACCAGTCCACCAAGCCCTGTTGGTCTCGTCGTGCTTGAATTCTCGAGACAAGAAGACGGCGATGAGGAACTTGAAGATACACCTCTGGACACTGATGACGGCGATCACACCAAGCACGGCGTGGGACGAGTCCCAGAGCTCGAGGAACCAGAGCAACTCGAAGAAGGCGACCATACCGACGACGGCACCGAAGTGGGCGATGGCTGCCATGGTAGCTCCGAATTGGTGGGTGTAAGAGTTCAACTATGATACGGTCAGCAAACCCCAAATGATTGTGAAAGGATACGCACGCAAGGACCGAGGAAGACAGAGATCAAGAAGAGCGTAAGCAAAAGCGCCATGTTCCAAACGATAGGACCAAGGGCGATGACGGCAATCCTGAGAAGACCGGGCTGCACAACGCCGTCGACCGCGAAACTCTTGACAAAGAGGTAGCAGACGACAAAGAGGATGGCGAGGCAGATAGGCCCAATGATTTCACCGATTAGGATAGCCTTCCAAGGCGCCCTGGGCACATCACTCGACAGCTTCTCGGAGGGAAGACCCAACCTCTTTCTCTTGAAACCGGTGACCCTAGTTCGCGACAATCGGCAGTACCCGACCCAAGAGTTGGCGTGGGTGCGCGAGTTGCCTCGAGACATCCATCGGAGGAACTCTCGGTAGTCGATGACAAAGTCGGCGATGGCAAACTGGTGGGGGTTGAAGAGGAAGGGAGCGACACAAAGACCAACGACGGTGATCCAGAAGTAGATGATGTGGTTGACCCAGACGGACATGGAAATGTACACAAGGAGGACAAGTGTTCGGATACCGAGGTAGATGGAAGGTCCAGCGAATCGGGAGCTAGACGACATTAGCACAAAACCCGAAGACGATGCGCGAAACACTCACTAGAGGATGCTGAAAGAGATACGAGTAGTGGCGAAACCACGACCGGTAGCGATATACCTAGCACCACCGAACGTCAAGTCGTTCAGGATGGAGTGCATGTAGATCTGGGTCGAGAACACTTCGAAGACGGGCGAAAGCGACAAGAAGTGCTTTGAGAGTCGAAGAATAGCTCGGCCAGTACCACGCTCGGTAAGTTCTAGGACATGGTCAGCGACTCGAGCGCAGAAGATAGAAAAAGAAGCATACCCTGAACGAAGAGAGGAACGAAAGCGATCCAGAACACGATAAAGATGGAGATGATACATCGCTTGATCCACTGGAAGACAGGGACAAGGTTGTAACAACCACTCTGACCGGGCAGGATGGATCCAGCAGACGAGTAGGTGCAGACCGTAAGCTGCTTGTTGAGAGTACCGAGGAAGACGAGGGCGAGCATAAAGACCTGGACAGACATCATGACGAGAATGTTGTTGATGTGGAAACCGGGGTGACCATAGTAGAATGTCAAGAACCTGTCGATAGGCAATTGCGTACCCAAGTAGTAGTACTCTCGCGAAAGCATCTGTTCGCCCATACCAGTACCAATCTTGGTCTGGAAATTGAGAATGGTACCAAAACCAAGATCACGTCCTTTACCACACTGGTAGTACTCAGAGTGCTTGATACGACCACCTCGGCCAAAGGCGAGCATACCGGCAAAGATATCTTCGTTCAAGTGAAGACCCTTTTGCGCCTTGGAGACACCACCTCGAGTGTTCATGTAGATAGCGTTCAAGAAATCGGGCTGCAGAATACGTCAGCGCGGTCGAGATAATCAGAGGAAGAGACTTACGTGACCGTAATGCAATTTACCACCAATAAAGGACAATGACCTAGCCGCAAGCGTACCGAAAGTCTGTTCCTTACCAGCCGCAATATCACCCAAAATACCAATGTTCTCCGAGAAGATATACTCTCGCGCACCCAAGATCGCCACGGGCGCCTTGGAGAACTCGGCACTGATGGTAGTCGCGTAAGGGCTCTCGGTAGGGATCTTGAACCCCTCAAACTCGCCAAGCACATTTCGGATCTTGAGACACTCTTCCAGATAATTGTCCTGGTTCGCATCGATAAGCTGAAGGTATTCACCGCGGTAAAAGACGATAGCGTGATTCTGGTTATCAGACTTTCCGTCACCCAAGATAGGGTTACCGGGCAGCTCGATCCTAAACTTGGGACGTCTACGGCCATTCGGCATGATCTCGGAATGACCGTCGATAAGCGCCGAAAAGATCCTGGGCTCGTTCCCGTCCTTCCTGGGCGGCTCCTCATCGAGATAGGCAATCTGCAAGTCGGGGTACGCGCGCAGGAGGAACTCGGCATTATCGTGCTCCTCCTTGTTGAACTTTGAGTACCTCTGCATAGAGACAACAAACTTGAACTTGCGTCGCGCCATGCGCTCAAGCTCGCGCTCAAGCTGGTCGGTGTTGCCGCCAAATAGCTGCACAACCTCGGGGTTCTCGACGCGGTAGAGAAGCTTGATGGCCTTGCTGTAGTTCATGAAACCAGACACCGTTCGGTAAAGCGTCTGCGCTCGGAGGGAAGCCCAGATACGGGTTCGCAACGTATACTCGGGCGCAGCAGACTTGAAACCGATAGTGTAGAAGGGAATATCGTCCGCCTTCTTCGCATCCTCCTTTTCGTCAGACGCAAAGGGGTTGCCACCGTTAAACATGTTGGACTCTTCCGCCAAAATCTTGGTATCGCGCACAAAGTTGTCCCACTCGATAGGGTGGAGCTGCTTGAGATACTCGAGCAGCGTCACACGCGTATTCTGGTCTTCTTCCCTGATAATCTCTCGGAGAGAAAGCAAGATCTTTTCAGAGTAGTGCGGCACAAGCACGGTGAACGTAGGCATAGCCTCAATGGGGATAGGCTCGGGGATGGCAGTCGTCAAAGACTGGGCAAAGAACGAAATACGTCGCTCGGCTTCGGAACCCTTGGGGAAGAATTCAGCCTTGCTGCCGCCCTTTTCACACTGGGTGATGAAGAATGCAGGGGCTCGGAGCGTACGCTTGCCGGGCTGGTCGGACTGGACCTGGTGGTAGAGGAGTTTCTGGACGTGCTCGATGGAGAGGAGGTGTTCGCGGTACATGGAGATGATGACGGCGTTCCAGACTTGCGAGACCAGCACCTACTCTTCATCAGCCTCAATCACAATGCGTTTCAGAGGAAAAAGACACACCTTGGGCTTGTACTTGACTTCCATATCATCCGTCGCCAAAATCTTTGCGTAAATCCTCTTGGGCAACCTCGAGAAAATATCCGCCCACGGCGTCCAAATACTCATCCCCAACGAGAAACTCCTCGCCACAGACAGAATCGTGCTCCAAATCACATACCACAAGAACGTATCCAAGAAGAACAAGGTCAAGTCCATGACAAACATGACCGTCAACGCAAAGGCCGGCTGGTTGGTACACAGCGCCGAACCAAAGTACTTGTCGTTACAGTTCTGCACCTTCATACCGTTCATGACCCTGATAGGGTCACGGAACGAGAGTGTGAGGAAAAAGTAGGATTCGGTGAATTTACAGCCAAAGATGAGGAACCAGAGGAGGAACGACGTCAGGCGGTTGTTTCGCGGCAAAGAGGGGTACGAGGCGGTGAACGTCTGGTTGGCGAGATACTTTCGGCTCTTGCCGGCTACTCGATCACCAAACATCCTCCCCGAAGGTAGCGTCGAGAACAAAGCGGTGGCAACGACCGAACACCAGAACTGGACGATACCCAAGATAAGGGCAACGCGGCCGGTCTGGTTGAAAAAGGCAATGTAGATGGAGGGACCGCCGGTGATGGCGAGGATGATCAGGAGGAATATCAGCCGACGGGTGAGGTGGGAGGTGTTGTTCCAGGTGGTGGGGATGTAGGAGAACTCGGCGAGGGTGGCAGCGATCATGATCAAAGTAGCGACGCAACCACCGAGACCGGTGATAGACCAAGCCATAGGCGTAGTAGCCCTGGTGGAGCCAGACGCAGCGTAGATAGAGGGGGCGTTGTAAGCACTACAATAATCAGCATCATCTCATCACAAGACTTGTGGATGCTCACGTGAAGAACCAGAACACGGAAATGTGCAAAACCCAGATACGGTTAAAGTTGACCAAAAGATGGAAGAACGATCGTTTCTCGAGATACGTCTTGAAAAACACCTTGGTCCAATCAATCCTGTCAAACTTCATGAATCGCTGCGCAGGCGGCACATCCACGAGACGGGTATTGTCGGTCAACGAGATCCTCGAAATACCCTCAGGGTACCAGAACAGCTGGTTGACATCGTCATACCCAATAACCTTGTCGTGGTCCTTCTCCCTCCTCAAAAACTTGCCATCCACAACTTCGTAACCCTGGTCTCTCAAGAACTTGTAGAGGGGCTTGATGACAGCCCGCAAGTAGAGACCCTCGGGCACGGCTTCCTGCCTGTTCTGGCACTCGGGCGACCGGTAATAGTCGTCGGCGCACTTGAAGATGAAACAAAGACACTCGGGCATGAATCGCACCTGCGCAGCTTCACCCCAACACAACAAGAACAGCGCGACCTGTCGAAGACGGTCGTACTGCGACATGTTGTTCATGGCCGTCCTCCAGCGGGAGGTGGCAGAGTCGAGCGACTTTGCCTGTGCGGTGACGGGCGACTTGCCCTTGGGGCCGCGACGGGCGACGGAACGGACACGGGAAAGACCGGGGTTCTGGACGGCACCGATAGCGTCGTCGAGGTCGAGCTGGGCGGCAAAGTACCACTTGCGGTAGTTGGCGTGCGCGCCGCCGATATAGTCGGCGTGGAGCGTGAGGAGGGCTTGATTGGGAGACATGCGGGAGGCTCGAGAGTCGAGCTGGATCATGAGGAAATCGTACACGTTTCGCGAGGAGTCTGGAAAAAGTCAGCGTTGTCGAGCGGAGGGGTGAAAAAAACCCACCCTTTTGGAAACCAAACTTGTTGGCGAGGTCGATCAAAACATCCTCAATCTCTTCCTTGGAGAGAGGAATGTTGGCCTCGGCTGTCCAAGCGGGGTACGGCTCACGGGGCTTGTGGCCTTCACGCGATTCAGAGTAGGTAGGCGTGGATGCACGCGACGGCAAGTAACCAGGTCCTCCGTGGTAATCAGAAGACGGATAATTAACATCTGCACGTTGTGAGAAGGCTGCGCAAATCACACAAAAAAAATAAACACTCACCCTGCTGGCTCCACCCGCTCTCACTCGCCCACGTTTCTCTGCCCATACCGCCTCCATCATAACGCCCGCCGATCTCTGGCTCATTGTCATAGTACGGCGCGTACTGGCCGCCCTGTCCGGGCGGGGCGACACCAGCGCCAGCGCCGGCATCGGGGTTGGGCGCGTCGGGGTGGGCGAATGCGCCTGTTTGGTGGGGGAGGGGGAGTTGGGGGTTGGAGTCGTATGGGAGTTGATTTGTGTGGTTGAAGGGGTCGGAGGAGGATGAGGAGAAGGAGGCGGTGCCCTTGGGGCCGGGAGGGGGCTTGTTGTAATCCATATTGCTGGGAAAAGTCAGCGCGGGTCGGGGGTGGGCGCGGCCTGCGCCAGGGGGAAAGGGGCTGGGGAGGATGAAAAAGTATCAAACAGATAGGGAGGAGGGAGAAAAGTAAAAGAGAAAGGAGAGGGCGTCGCGTCGTCCAAGCGACACCGCAGCCACTCCCACAGTCAACCCGGTAACCACCCCCGCCAGCGCTATGACTCACCTACAAAAACTATCCTCTCGCTACACTTGCTCTGCGCCGGTGAGTGGCGTACTGGCACCGATGAAAATTCCCAGGTGGCCGTGGTATCCTCTGGGGAGCGGGGGGGCGGGGGCGGGGTGTCGTGAGCGGGGGCGTCGGTGCGCCGGTCGTGGATGGGAAAAGAGGGTGGGGGAGTGGGGGAGGGGTGGTGGTGGGGTGGTAAGAAGAAAGACAAAAGCACCAAGCGATGAGGAAGGCGATGTTGCTTGGGTGCCTGCGTTAGACTGTGCTTCTCGTGCATCCCCTGACATTACAAAACGGGCTATTCACTACAAATTTTGTAATCCCACGGGACCGTATCTCTAATCCCGGACGGTCCTCGGAAAAAGCATCACCCTCGATTAACGGCAATTACGCCCCTGATTTTGGGCCAAACATCCAACAAGCGCGTTTCTGCCCTTGCCCTCGCGTTTTGCGGGATCCGATAGACTAATAACCTGGAAATCCCGGCCCGAAACAGCGCGCTTTGGGCCAAGTCACGCATACGTCATCGGACAGCTTTGGGGGTGGCACGTGGCGGGATTGGCGGGGATTGAGGGCACTGTGGCACCTGCCTCCACTTTCCCTTCACGCGCCTTGCTTTTGTTTGGTCCTCTCCCCTAATACACTGCAGCAAAATGGCGTTGACCGCTGCCATGTCCGCCTGGGAGCCCAGGTTCTCAGCCCACAATGACGATCACGCCATCGCTTCAGTGAGCCACAAGTAACTGAAGCTGGGAGTCGCTGACAAGAGCAGGCCGTGGCTCTGGCTCGTGCCCATATTTCACCGCGCAACCTCAACGTTTCCGGTACTGCGCGACCTGTCGTCACGCCTGAAATCGCAGCAGCATTTCAACTGATACAGCGGAGAGGACTGTCCAAGACTGTGTTTAACGACTTTCTCGGTAAGCTTGGGTCTTCAATTGGCGACACCTTTGCCATCTACATCGGGCCGCTCCCAGCGCCTATACGGGATACCAAGCTCCTTCCGATCTTGACATACGGTGAATACCCCCAACGCAAGCTAACAAAACCACAGACGACGTCGAATCAAACTTTACCCTCATCCAAGACGAGATCACCCACGCCATCGCCGCCATCGAGACACCCTCTTCAAACGACGATGAGCAAGACCAACGCGTCCTCCGCGTCATCGCCCACCTCTTCGAACGTCTCGCCTCCTGGCAACGTACATGGGGCGTCCCCCTTCGCGCTTTCCAAGAGTACGCCCCTTTCCCTTCCTCCTCCCTTCCTCTTTCCTTCCTCCCTTCTTCCTTTTCTTCAGACAACTGCTGACGGTATGGGAGTAGTAACGGCTACATAAGCGCATTCACCCGAACATTCCACTTCCTCCTCCACTCCACCCTCCCCCCCTCATTCCCTGCCCACCTCATCCACTTCCTGTCTACCTCCCTCTCTTCACTCCCTTCCAACTCCTCTTCTCCCTCTTCCCCTTCCTCTCCTTCCTTCCCTTCGGCCTCTTTCCCCTCTTCCTCCAACCATGGTACTTTACAACAAAACCCCCGCACCAAAATCCCACCTCCAACGCCTCACTTGAGCCGCTTAGGTATATTCCCCCGCTACTCCGGAAGCTTGAGCCATGTAGCGCACGAAGAGATCCGCCGGATCGCTTTGGAGGAGGCTGACAGGGGGTGGGGGGAGAGAAGGTTGGGCAGGGCGAGGCAGAGGATTGGGGATGGGGTCGCTAATTGGCTTGCTGGGATGTTTGAGGGTGCGTCTTCCTTATTCCCCATCCTCCTTCCCCTCCTCCTCCATCTCTCTCTCCCTCATCTCAAGAGGGTGAAAGCTAATGTGATGTGGACAGGCAATGACTCCGTCCAAGCTTCCCTCCGCCCAATGTTCTCCCGCTTCGACTATTTCCTCTGTAAATGCTTCTTCGACATTCGCACCGACGAGCTCTTTGACATTATCATCGATTTCCCGGATTCCATGGCTGCGCTGGAAGACTTGAAGGAGTGTTTGTTCAAAGTGGATCAGAGGGTTGAGTTGGTTAACAAGTTGAATGCTGCGTGAGTCCCTTACACCTCAGCAAGAGACAGCGGGAGAAGAAAGGCAAAGATCTGATGAAATATGATGTATAGAAACTTGAAGCGCCTCCTCCACCCCGGCGCCGAAACCCACCTCATCTTAAACATCTACATCTCCACCATCCGCTCTCTCCGCATCCTCGACCCCCCCGGCGTCCTCCTCCACTCCATCGCCCTCCCCATCCGCGCCCACCTCCTCCAACGGCCAGATACCATCAAGTGCATCGTCGAGACTCTGGTGAATGGGGAGGAATTGCAGGATGAGAATGAAGGCGGGCTGATAGGGGAGGGAGAGGTGGGGGCGGAGGATTTTGGGGATCCGAGGTGGGAGCCTGAACCTATTGATGCTGCTCCGGAATTCAGGTCGCAAAAGTCCCCAGACATCCTCTCAACCCTCACTTCGATCTATCCCTCGACGGCATCCATCATCGAAGCCCTCCAAGCATTCCTCGCGAACCGTCTACTGCTCCTGACAGATTATGACGCCGTCCAAGAAGTGCGCACGATAGAGCTGTTGAAATTGCGGTTCGGAGAAGGCGCGTTGGCGGGGTGTGATGTGATGGTGAAGGATGTTGCGGATTCCAAACGGATTGATGCACGAGTCCAGGGAGAAAAAGAAGTGAGACCCCTTACCTTACACGATTTGAAAGCTAGCTGATAGGGTGGAAAGTCTGTGGTACACCCAATGGTACTGTCCAAGATGTTTTGGCCCGACATGCCGAGATCATCTTTGGTTCTACCCCCGAAGATGCAAAAGTAAGCCCCACCCCCTTCCCCTTGCCCACCACCCCACTAACGTATATCCTCAGAATCCACACGTCCTACGAACAATCCTACCACTCCCTGAACCCCGCCAAACACCTCTCCTTCCTCCCCTCCCACGGCTCCCTGACCCTAACCATCGCCCTCTCCGACCGTACCCTCCACCTCACCTGCACCCCGCTCCAAGCTGCCATGATGGAATTCTTTGAGAAGAAGGAGGTGTGGGGGGTGGAGGAGTTGAGTGGGCATTTGGGGGTGGGGAAGGTGGAGGTTGGGAGGGCGTTGGGGTGGTGGGGTGAGCAGGGGGTTGTGAGGGAGGAGGGGAAGGGGAGGTGGAGGTTGGTGGAGGTTTTAGATGAGGAGGGGGATGGGATGGTGGATGAGTAGGTTGTTTTAGGGAGAGATTTGGGTGTTTATGACGAAACTGTTGTATATGTATAGCATGATCCTCTGCGTTTGGCACATTCTGGTTGGACAATGCCATGATTACGAGACCGGAGATGTAAATGTTGGAATGTGCGTACATTTAGAGAAATGTGTTACATTTAGAGAATGTGTTACATTTAGAGAATGTGTTACATCTAGAGAATGTGTTACATTTAGAATGTGTTACATTTAGAGAATGTGTTACATTTAGAGAATGTGTTACATTCCTTCTCCGTATATATATCGTACACGCCATCAACCAAAAAGCATGAGCAAAAGTCCCTGAGTTACCAAAATTGAGTCAAGTCCGGATGGAGACCATCCCTTGCCCTCAGCAGGACAATATTAGACGAGGTCATCGAAAACTACCCACACATCAGCAAAAGACCGCCCTGAACAAAGCAAGACTTACCCCATTCCCGACAAAGACCCCCGCCCGTCTCGCAATCTCCATATCAACCGCCACCCCCACCTCCTTCTCCTCCCACCCACCCCACACATCATCCTTCCCAATCCAAACATGGTCCCACCCCTCCGACTCGAGCCACTTTTTCATCTCCCCCACCCACGCCGCGTCATCCGTATCTGTCAAGATGTACACTGATTTGAGGAGTGGATGGTTTTTACGCATGCGCCGGGCGCGGCCGATGATGTCGAGTGTTTCGGGGAGGCATTTGGCGCGGTAGAGACCCATGCGGGTGGCTTCGACCATGTCGGTGGAAGGAGGGACGTTTTCGTTTCCGGGGAGTAGAGGGAGTTTGTTGAAGGATACCATGTTGCTGCAGTCGGGTGAGCGAGTTTCTGGCAGCAGATATACGACTTACGCAGAAGTCTCGCCCTTTTCTTCACAAACCCTTTCCCAATCCTCTCCCCTCCTGATATGCATCGCCAGCACATGTTTCCAGATAGGCGTCGAAATGGCACTCTTTCCCTTGCCTTCAGCAGCCGCCTCCAAATCGTAGAGAGGTGTCGTCGGAGAGAGGATTTGCAAGCGGTCGTTGAGGATGGACAGGACGCGAGGGGAGAAGGAAAAGTGTTCCATGGCTGGTGACTTTATGAACGACTCGTAGAGGTCCAAAGGCGCGTGCGAGTTGAAAAAGCTGCAGTAATGTCAGTATGGCTGTGAGAGAGGATGTAAAAGTTGAACATACTTGTTGTCAAAAGGTTCTCCCTGGATCCTGATACAAGGGTCATCGCTTCCGCCCAAAAGCACCTGAAGCTGGTGTATTCTATCCTGCCCATTACTCTCCAGGTCGATCTTTCCATCTGGGTTCGATGGTGACTGGATAGTGTAGACTACTTGTTTGTGAGAAGGGCAGTGTGCGCGGTAGTACCATGATCTACAGACCATTGTCAGCTTTGACGCCTCGGGAGCAAAGATTGCTTACGGGACGGCGCGAGGAGAGTCATACAACGTCTCGAATCCGGACACTACGGTCGATATGAACGCTGAGAGAGGTATCTTTGCTGAACGCCAAGGCCAGTTGGTGGGGTTGAACGGCAGTATCTGCTGAAGGTTAGCGAGATCAGGTATGGGAAGCGATAATGACGTACTGTTGTGTCTTCGACATAGGGCTCATATGATAATGAACGGTTTCCGAGGACAGCCAGGTGATGCTGAAGCCTAAAACGTATGAGTATGACTTAAGAGATGAGCCGGGTCGACATACAGTATTCGTTGCAACTGAAAGATAGGATTAGCATGACACAAGATTGCTTGGGTGACGGCTCACTTGATGGTTAAACCCTACGCGTATCATTCCAGACATTAGCAGATCGTTCTACCTCTATTATTGACAACCAAGCGTACCAGTCCCCTTCGGAATATCAAACCTGAATGCTATCAGCAACGCTCAAGACACGTCTCGCCCCACTTCGACCACTCACTGAATCATCCTCGCCGGCTGCCCCTGCTCCTTGGCCACGCGTTTCTCCCAGTTCCATTCATCATCATAGCTCGGCGGAAAAGGTGGACTCGGATGCCATGTGATCAGCACTGCAAAACCAAATAGCAAGAGCAGTAATTTGAGCTGGGAGCGACGCGCCAGGCGTGTGACCGCGGTCGGGAGGATCGCAGCGGGGCGGGGGATGCGGTCAGAGTCGAGGGTGACGGGCTCGCCGAGGGGATTGGGAAGCGTGACCCTCATGGCTGTTGTAAAAAGAATGCTGGGGAGTGCGAAGAAAGCTGAAGTTGAACCTACCCAAGAACCTTGAACGCCAAACGTGAATCACGGCAAAACTCTCCCCGCTTTCCGGTCCCGGGCCTCGCCGCCCTGGCTGTTCCTAGATCATAGATACGTTGCAAATACGTTGAGGTATACTGATACGAAGGCAGGGGAGGGAGGCTGGGAGAGGTTCACGGGACAACGTCAAAAGAGCAAGTGGCCGTTGAAGTGGTCAAGATGTTCCTACAAGGAGGGGTAGCGATATTCAGCAGGAGGCGGAGGAGCTGACGGAACGCTGGCTCGGTGGCATAAGCATAGCATATGTACTGCTGCTGACAACTGCTCGAAAATCCCAATACCCTCTTGACCTAGTCTTCTTGATCTTCACTCCAGTAAGGCCGGAAAGTCTTGTCTATATGCTTCGGATCCTCTCGCAACAACTCAAAGCCCGCCTCTCTCACAAGTGGACCGTAACCCCAGATTTCCATCTTTTCGTGATCAAAGTCGAGAAAGTATGCCCATTCACATTTGTCTGCCCATTGGATAAAGGCAGCTGTAGCGTCAGTCAGCACAACATCCGCCAGTTCTCACAGCTCAAGAAGTACTTGCTGTTGTTGGACAAAAGAGATCATGGTGCACGGCAATCCTATCCTTGCTTGACTGAACGGCGGAGCAGGATGCGGGTGTGCTCCGCCTGCTGCGTTATTCGACTGGCTTTGGCAGGACGTTGCTGCTTCACCATTACGCTCAAAGAATCTTGCATCTACTATTATTCAATGCCTGCATCATAGCCCCCGTCCTCGTCGCTGGCTTGATACCACCACCGCTCCTCCTCCTCCCTGAAATGGGTGTTCATATAGTCTGGGTTTTCTCGAAGAAAGGCAAACGATACCTCCTCATGGATATCAGGAGAACCACCAAACATACCCCATACTTCCATATTTTCGTGGTGAAAGTCGACAAAGTACGCCCAATCAACTAGACTGTACGCACCACCTGTCGCCGATCAGTGCATGACTGCCTCCCAGATGCCACCATGGACTCACCACCAAAGTAATCTATCAGGTGTATGAGCTTTCCCTGCTGGATCATTGGCAGTACGCTTGCTCCCCGTGCTCGGCTCAGAAAGTAGCCCCATCCTGGGTAGATATGTCCATCTTCACCTCTCTCCAATCCTGTGACATGGCGAAGCTCACACCGCTCGATGCTGTCCTTGCCCAATAGCTCTTCGGCCTTCTTTGTTCTCTCTGCAATCATGGCGCTCTTTTACTGTTCAGGAAAGCCCTCCAGATCCCGCTCCTTCAATTCTCAGGACCGCCGTAAGGAAAACTGTCTTGCCAAATCCCCTCGCAGGCCTCATAGTACTCCCAAGTATCATCATCCATAAAATCACCTTCATCGTCTAACCAGTGCATTTCCGTATGAGACATGTGCGCTCATCGCGTCGCGTGCCTATATCTCTCTAAAGTCGACAGGCGTCCTGCACGGGATCAAACCTGCGTTCGTCCGCCGTCTGCACTTGGTCTGCACAATCATCTTGCAATCATCCCAGCACTTGACCTGCACTTGACATCTGGCAATCTTCTTGCTATGTTCGCCTCTCGCAAGCGCCAACGTCGGCCACCTCTGTAAGGGTAGGATAGGTGAGGCGTAACCTAAGGGCGGTTACGTGGTGGATCTGACTAGGGGCGCCAGATGTCGACCTTGAATAGACTGGAGGGATGAAGGATGGATATAGGTGAGGAGGTTCTTACGAGAATACATCGATGAGGGAAAAGGATACGGAGACGCGGCACGATGTATATATGGGAACCTCATCTCGCAATCCAGCCTACGCATCCCTGAGACCATAGCAGCAACCCTAGTCACCGAACCCTGCGTCCAAAGTACACGTCACAACATCTGTACCAATCCCTTACAACCTCCCACCTACGGCTCATTCTTCAAGATCGATACTGCCCTTCGGGAAGAAGAGGAGATAGCCGCCGTGCGGGCCCTCTTCTCGGACGAGGAGATTCTTCTAGACGCGATCACTTCCTTTGGCTTGGCGAGCGATAACGAACACGTCGAAGCGGTTACAGTGAGGGCACACGTAGCTCTCCTTGAGCGATTGCTGGAATGGCACTATACCATCGCAGCTTCCGAAATCAGAGAAGGGTTTAGTGAGCTTCACACTGCTGGTGGATCACTTTCTCTCTTCGATGCCAGAGTACGGCAAGATGATGGTCGGGACAAGACTTATCGGCAGAGCACACACTATGCTCTATTCGTCAATTGGGCAAACGCAAACAAAAAGCTTTTCCGCCAAGACGTCGAAGGCAATGTTGGACCTCGAGAAGGGATTATGCTAGGGGATTAGATAGAAGAGACGAACAGCATTCATTTTTCAAGCATGTACTTTTGGGCTATCGGTTGTCAAGTCACAAAACTGGAGCCTCTTTTCGAAAGAACAACAAGCGTAGGCGAACTCTGTTCCTGTCACGGCCTGCTG